TCTGGCTGGCCTCGACATTGGCGGAAGTAGCAGCAGAATCCTCTGTCTGGCCGTTGGCAGCAGGCTCTTCAGGGTGAGACAGCAGCCAGCCGTCCAGAGATATCAGGTCGGACGAGGCCAGGGCCGAAAAGGAGTTTGTCAGAGCCAGGTTGGTCACCACGCTGTTCGTGAAGAACCGGCGCAGCAGATCCAGCATTCCCGAGAACACTCCTCCCTTGACGTCGACGATCCACGGCACCACATGGCTCTGACTGTGCATCCGCTGGTATAGTACCGACAAAGCACTGGAGATGTAGTTCTCATACGAAGGCTCTATACACGGATCATCCAGCAGGTCTGTAGCATATGTGAATAGCCGTTGCACCTCCCCATTGAGCGCAGCCACCGTACGCAGCTCCGTCGGATGGGAACTCTGGTCCCTTGCGGACTTGATCAGCAGATTTGCAAACTCATGATGGTGCTGTATCACAACCGTTATTAGCCGCAGCGTTGCCACAACGGTCTGCCGGTTGTGCGACCGTATGCCCATCAAGATAAGATCGACCAGGTTGAATAGGGTCGGAGATGGTTTGGCCGCCGCCTCGGCAAAGGAGGCCAGTATATCCAGTGACTTCCGCCGGCTCAGCGACATACGGCTTTTCTTGGTCGATGTAAGCCTGATATGCTGCTGCTCGCTGGCTGGCGAAGCGAGCAGGAAGTTTAGTATCCGGTTGACCAGGACCGGCTGGTAAATGGACTCCAGTATGCGGCTCAGATAGGTAATCACTGACGATGTAGAGCCGCCTGCTACGTCGGATGATTCCAGCAGCGAGGGATATCTATAACAACTAGTTAGACTGTGGTAACAGATTACGAACTTAGACAATAACACCTACAGAAGCTGCTCGAGAAACAAGACCTGGAAGTGGTCGAGAAGCGTGTCGGTTACTTCAGGCGATTTGCAATGGTCGATGGCGTCCTGCCAGAATAAAAGATAGGAGAGAAATGCATCTAACTGTCCCTGGTGCGAGTGATGCACGGTGTTATCCAGATCAGTATGGTCTGATAGCGCAATGATAGCCGGGATATCCTCATGGCTGTCGGTTGATATCAGGAGCCTGTGTATCATGTTAGCTTTGTAGAAATTCAATTATCAGGGTCGATATATCTACACACCGGCTGAGTTGGCTGTAGGAAGCACCAAGCCCAATAGCCATCAAGGTAGCCATGTCACTCTCGATAAGCCATCTCTCCAGCTCCTTGACTTTAGATGCAGTCTCGATTATATATAGTAGCCCCGTCCGGGCAAAGTCCCCTGTCCTCCCTTCGTAGTGCACATAGTCCACCAACAGATAGAAGAGTGGAAAGTCGTCTCTCCTAGTGACACCTGCAAACTCCTTGCCAGCCCTCAACGACGGATCTATCCGTTGAGGTTCCCCAGACCCATCCTTCTTTTCCTCTGGCGAGAACCAGGCTGGCAGTATCTCTGGACGGAGACGGATAACGTTGGCGACGCCAAAGACAAGCTCGACCAGTTTCGACTCTCCGTCTTCGATATCACGCCGGTCGATGCAGGTGGACGCATTACCGTGCGAGACTAGGTCGACCAGGGCCCGCGAGAAGACGCTGCTGTCCACGATCCCATCCACCTCAGACTCGATCAGGGTGTTCAACAGCACAGCCGCAGCCGAGACCACGCCCGGATCGTGCGTTGCCAATGCCAACTTGGTCACCGTCAAGTATACCTGCGACGTAGCGGCGTCTGAGTGGCATGGGTGAGGCGACGGCCCGCGAGACTCGTCTCGAAGGATGGAATTGAGGCGGTTCAGGGAGCTTCGAATCAAGGGGATCGAGGGCGATTCAGGGGACAACGAGGGCGAGTTCCGCCATATTTGCTACCATCAGCCGTTAGCCCATGGCCTTAGAGCGCCAAAAAAAGACGTCTCATTAACGCATCCCCGGCTCAACGTACGTAGAGGGTATTGCATGTGTGCTTGAATGCTGCCAGTCGTTTTCCAGTCGGGTTCTTGCGCAGGGCCTTGGAGGAGCCCGAGGCGGCGCCGCCTATCAGTCGAGACCACTGGCGGCGAAAACTTGTCAGCAGAAGCGGCTAGCCGTCAAGAGGCGGGATTCTTACAAAGTCCATGGCAGCTCTTCATGTCTCCGTGTCCGCTATTAAAGGGCGCGGCCGGGCTGTGTCTGTTCCATGGTCGTGTATGTGCGTGTGTCGTTGGTGAGACATCCAGATCTTCGTCCTGCTGAAGTCTTATCGATAGTTCGCGAACTAGCGAAGCCGGTCACTCGACGGCTATAACATGTACGAGCGGTAGAGCCATCTGTGCTTTTAACTATACTATTTTACTACGATATATTTCTGCCTACCTAGGGATGTACTATTTGGCATTGGATGTGGGATGGGGCGGAGGGGTGGGAGGCCACTATGGAAAACATCTGTCATGCTCATGCTTCATACCGATAAATACCCAAAAACTAGTTACCGACTCGAGCAGCATGAATCTCCCTGTCCTGGTCGATACTGGTAGTGCCCGTCTTCGCTCGGGCATTGCCTTGGAGTGGAGGGTTAGCTATTACCCGGTCCTTATATACGTACAAATCTTGCTGCAGGTATCGAGCATCACTTCTAAACCGTCATTTCTTCCCTTTGGTGTTTAGTCAATTAATCGTTTCAAACACCAGGGGACTGCTGCGTCAGATTAAGTTATCTTAACCATCTACTCTGAAGCAACTGAGTAACTTTTCCTGCCCTCCAGCCCTGTCCACAAATTAGGTTCCTACAATTAGTTACACAGTAGCAGTCAGCGTTGTCATAAACAACATCTTCCTCTCTTCAACACCATAGCGGGCATCTGATGTATAAAAGCTGCAGGCATGGGACTATATCCAAGGCCTAGGCTTCAGGTTCTATTCATATTCATATACCGACTCACCGAGCCAGGGTGAAGAACCGCCTTTAGACCGTTGACGCAGAGTAGCTCTTTGGACCCACCGACACGGAACTGAGTTTCTCGAAGTATTTTGCATCGGTACTCGAAACACCACTTCCCCGGCATAGTTGAAAGTGGTGAGGCCATTGGCGGCCATAGCTAATCCAGGACTTGGCGTTTCTTCTATGATCAGTATCCGGTCAAACTGATGCCATCTCTTAAGTCTCCCCATTCAAGATGATGGATTTCATCCTCATTGTAGTTGTGGTTTAGTGCTTGACGAAGACTTCTGTTGTTGTTATCTTTATAAAATGAACTGGGAAATTCTTCGTAAGGCGGTCTCAAATCGAGTGGACTCTTTCAAATGGAGAGGTGATATAAAGCATTCTTGTGGTGACTGGCATCCTTTATGCCGAAAAAAATGTTGGCAGCATATATTGCCTCTGCTATATTAAGCTCTTATAGGCAGGATAGCGCACGAAAGTACGGATACAGCACCTTCATCGGTAGTACGTATTTATGTCGATCAAGGAACATTGACAGTGATAAGTTCTCCAAGGCGACAAGTCACTAGTACCAATTAGCCGGCACCAATACAGAAGTAATGAAGCTAGATTTTCCAGGTAGTCATGAATGAAGTTGATAGTAATAACGACTGAATGGAGATCAGCAACAAAAACTTCCCTTAAAGGGAGAAGACATGCAGAGCGGCCAAAAGGAACTGGGTGCGTAGAATCACGGAATATTATACTTCCAACGTGCCTTGAATTCCGTGACTTCCCTACGTCCAGCATGTACTCACGCGTAGACGTGATGCTTGGCTCCGTAATAAAGGGGAAATATCCAGCTAACTGCTGGGGGTTAGTCTATATAGACTACCTGCGAAACCTGTTAGCCATAGTCTCACTTGAGGGCGCTAAGTTAGTTACCCTTGCAATAACGAACACTCAGGTAGGCATATCGTACCCAAGCTCTGCAGCTTCACAGGCCCTAACACACACAGAAAGCGAGCATGCAGTGAGTATCTGCCAATGTTCGTCTTCTTCTCGCAACTATCGTCTTCATCGCCGTCGTCATCCCAATTCTTGACGTCGTTTTCTTCGACGTTTAAGAAGGTCAAAACAAAGTTGAAAGGGGCTGCCGGATCCGGACTAGCGGCGGGAGTTCCCATCTTAGCAACGCGAGGATGGAACGTGGCCTATCACGGGCCTCGAAGTCCAGCGAAGGGACGTCGCGTAGATGAACAGCCGGGACTGACAGCCAACACGTCACGTCGACGACCAGGACAGCTCTGAACAGAGGTATAAAAGAGCGCGTCGGGCGCTCGGCAATTCTGCAAGATGAAGTCTTTCTACTCCTTTTCACACTCCCTCAAGGCGCGGAGAAGGCCGTTATCACCGAATTGGAGCCTGGCGAGCACGAGAGCACCATGGACCAACCATTCTACGTCATTGACCCTGACGGGGAGGTAGACATTGTCCTCACCAACCCCGATGCCCCCTTCGCCATCTTTGATGAAAACCAATTCGAGCAACAGGACCCCCGGCCTGCCGTGGAGAACACTCGAGAGGACTCGAGGAGACCCAGGGAGAAACACCGGAGAAAGAGAAAGCGGTCATCACCACCCAGCGAGCCAACACCAGCCGTGCAACAGACGACAAAAACCGTGCGTATCCGGGTCTCTGCAAAGCATCTGTCATTGGCCTCGCCCGTCTTCAGGAGCATGTTGAATACCAGCTGCCCGGAGAGCGCTACTGTTGCGGAGAAGGGCTCAGTCGTGGTGGGTGCTGATGGGTGGGATGTGCAGGCGTTCATGCTATTCCTGCGCATCTTGCATTGTCAGCACCATCATCTACCACGACGAGTGTCTATAGAGATGCTTGCCAAGATTGCCTTGATCTCAGACTATTATGAGTGCAAGTTTGTGCTGGCGTTCTTTTCAGATACATGGATCAGAGCGTTAGCGGACAAGAAACCCTCGAGATACTCGCGTGATATGATCTTGTGGATTTGGATATGCTGGTACTTCCAGCTTGCCAAGGAGTTCCAGAGAACCACATTGATCACCATAGTGCAAAGCATAGGGCCGATACCAAGTCTGGGCTTGCCGATTCCCGCTAGGATCATAGGTTTGTGTGATACCGCGTGAAGAATCAAGAATTATGCCATACATCTGTCCCGTTGCTGACGTGTATTATAGACACGCTTAACGAAAGCAGAGAGTGGTTTATTGGTAACATCCTCAAGATGCTTTATGAGCGGCGAGAAATTCTGCTCAACGGCACGCAGACTTGCAGTCCTGAGTGCGGCTCGATGTCACTTGGATCCTTAATGAAACGGATGCACACCCACGGCCTGCTTAAAAAACGTCCTGAGGCGCCGTTTCTGTCGTTAAGCTGCCAGTACCTGACAGGTGTTGTATTCGAATATGAGAGAACGAGCCCATCCACGTGTTACTGCGAAGAGATAGATTTCGAGAGCCGCTTTGGAGATGTTGGGAGTGATTTCATGGGCTTAAAACTGGATATGTTTGTGTAGGATAGCTGATTGACTTTATTTCGGAGTCTAGAGGGATATTGAATAGATGTGGCGAACAGCTGATTTGAGTATCAGATATTGTTTACAAGGAATGACAATGTAGAAGAAATAAGAAGGGACCGTGCATAGTAATTATTGAGCCATAGAGATCCATTAAGCCAAATTCTAGGTTGACAAACTTGTTCTCTAACCTGTCGCCGGACGCATTATCTTATGTCATTAAAATCGAAGCAAAATTGATGTAAGAGACAAGCCAAGAGAAGAGATAAGAGTTCACGACGAGTAAAGGGAGAAGATATATAGAAAGAGGATATAGGAATAAAAGGATGCATGCTTCAGATTTCCGCCAACGCCAGCCACAGTCTGCGCTCCCAACCGAGTAAATGATACGTATAACCTGCCAGTGTAGAGACAAATGAGAGAGTAGATCGAAGAAGTAAAGCATCGAGACTAGTCGTCATCCATGTCTTCTCTCTTCCGACGGCTGCCCTTTTTCTTTGGCTTGTCGTTCCCGTCACTGCCGTCTTCGTCGTGCTTTTTGCCTGAGGGGGCATCAGGAACCTTGGATATGATGTCTGCGAGAAAGTCGAGAACTTCGTCCTTGCTGATGGCTTCCTTGAGGTGATTTGCGGTGATACGTTTGGACGAACGGTCCCTAGCCACCTGTGCACCCTTGGTGACTAGGGATATCATGAACAGCTCCAACGCTTTGGCTGGTGGACGGGTTAGTATGCGGGAACTCCAGGGTTATGAATGGGTAGGAAAGTCACATACAGACTGCGATGGGGGTAACCTGGGCGACCTTGCCAACGTCTTCGTCTGCCTGCATAATACGTTTTATCCGAGCGACGGGGAACTTGGTCTTGACTTCTATTCCGCAAGAGGGTCCCAGGCTCTTCTCCTTCGCCTGCTCTTCCCCTGGATGCTCCATGGGCGGTTGTTCCACCATATTTTGTTGCTGTGGCGGCGGTGGTAGTGGCTGCTGTTGTTGTTGTTGTTGCTGTTGCTGCTGCTGTTGTTGCTGGAGGATCTGAGGTTGGTACTGTTGTTGTTGGTGTTGTTGCTGTTGGTCAAGCATGTGCTGCGGCTGCTGCATAGCCTGGGCCCTAGATCGGGTAGTAGGGGCCATCTCGTCCGTCGGTGAATAGAGTTGTGGAATATACGGCTGCTGATGTGAATGTGGATGCGGTTGATGGTGGGGTTGTTGTTGCTGCTGCTGCTGGAGGTGAGAGTACTGCTGGTGATACTGCTGGTGCGAGGCCTGATGCTGGTGATGGGCCTGTGGGTTGAAGAAAGGCGAGGCGTCGTAAGAGGCCTGCGGCGAAATTGGAGTCGAGAAGGCTGCAGCGTAGGAGGAGTGGTGGCCGTAGTCGTGGAACGGGGGAACGCTGCCGGCGAAGCCCGAGAAGTCAGGCGAGCGCGGTCTGTACGAGTTGTCTTGGTCTGTCATTCTAGGGCTGGTTAGCAATACTTATACAGATATAGATATATAGACGGGGTTTATGCGCCGGCGCCGGGTGTGTTATGCTATAGGCGGACGGGATGTAGATGAACTACCCGCGGATGTACCGGTCGCAGAGCCATACCTAAGAAACCTCTCCAACCTGAAATTCTGTGAGTGGTATCCTTGCTCCCTTTCGCGTCTTCACTTGGGTCCTGGTCGAGCCCTGGTCCCGTTGTTGCTCTCGGGCCGCAGACTCGGTCTTTGTCGTGTCTCGTCTGTCCGCTGCTGGTGTCGGCGCAGTCGACGTCGACGAGAAGTTCTTTTTTTTCCTTCCGGCTCACGGTGGCCCAAGCTCCAGTGTCACGCTAGGCCAGGGCAGGACTAGCGCAAGGGGTGGTGGGAAGGGATGGGGTGCGTGGCTGTAGCAGAGTTAATAAGGAGTGCGTGGGTTTAGGCCTTGCTCTTTCCTCTTTTTCCTTTCTTCCTCGTCGAACTCTCACGCGGGGTCGTTCCTTCCCTTTTATGCACTCAAAAGGCGGAAGAGCCCCTCATCACGTGATGGTCTAGGCTTGTTTTTTTTTTTTTTTTTTTTTTTTTTTCGCCTTTTTTTTTCCGTTTTCGCAAAAAAATAACACATAAAGCAAATCCACAACAATAACAACCACACACCACATAGTTGAACGGAAGAAGTACCCCGTAGGGATAAGAGAAGAGAAAGGAGAAACAATATGATGACTACGAGACGATAATATAGCGGAGGAGAAGTAAACATAGTATACTAGTTGATAGTATACTGCTCTGAGGACGCCCCGGCTTCCCTTGCTCTACCCTATCTGCACTCTCCCGTCACTACGCCCTCTCCACCCACATACCTTATTCTACACCGCGACCTGGTCGATGATGATAACTTCGAGCTCGAGACGTGTGTCTCTGGCCCAGGATGAAGCCGCCAAAAGGCATCGCCGGTGCCCAGACGACAGCTTGCGTCGCTGATACCCTTTAAAAGGGTTTAACTTGATCTAATCTGACTGGCCTCCTTATCCTTCAACCTTTAACCCGGGATAGCTGTAGCTAGTATGCACAGGGAGAGACGCGAAAGATTCTTTGAAGAACTAGTCCTCTTTGATAATTGATGAGACAATAGAGAAACATACCGTTCCTTTTCGTTGTGCCACCAGTATTTGTTCGACAGAATACAACAACACCCAGTACTTGACGAGATGCAAAAAAAGGCTTCATGAGAGAACTCGATTTAGATATCGGTTGTGGTGCTGGGATGAGCTGTCGAAGGTTTGGCTGACGCCCTCGAGGAGCTCGACTGGCAGCTTATACAATTATATATCACGTCTAGCGATAAAGCTCCAGGTAATACTCCTGGCTACTACTGACTGCATAGACTTAAGTGTCTCCTTTGATAGCTTCTATTCTGCTAGTACACCTGTGTATCCCTAGAACGGCTTCGACTCCAGCTCTGAGGAGTTTAGTGGTATGTGATGACCAGAATAGCAGTATTCCATTATAACATTATAATAACAGAGCCTAGCTGGCAATATGGAGAACTTTTGGCAGGTTATGGCTGTATATCGGAATACTAGGGACTGGGCTAAAGAGCAGAGGAATAGGATCGTCAACGATGCAGGTGAAGAGTACCGACACAGGAGGGCTACCAAATAGCCCCTTGAAGCTGGGCCGTAATATCTTCCACTACCTATCCTGCAGACAGCCAATGAAATCATGCCCGAGAAACCAACTCTCAACAGTTACAATCAAGTCCCTAATTAGCACTTCGTGGCGCTGTAAAGCCGGTCCTTACTGGCAATTTACTGCTCTTCTTTGTCTCTCTGCTTCTGTCTTGTCTCTGAATTCTGCTTGATGGGCGAAATTGAAATCCATAGTCACGTGTGTATACGGAACAATGTTTAGCCTAAATCCGACGGCATGGACCCGACCGCCCGGAAGTGGATCTCCAAATTTAAGAAAAAGACTTCATAAAAGAGACCAAGAGGAAGACAGAGGAGAAGAGGAGAAAAGGGTATAATATAAAGAGTTCATTGCAGACAAAAAGGAGAGAGCTGGTGAAGACATGGACTCGCGTCATGTCAATCGCTCCGTCTGAGTCGTGAATACACTTAACACCACGTCTCCGCGACTCATAGCCGCCTCCTCCCACTGCACCATTCCTACCCACCAAGACAGCGAACCAGCCCCCAGAGATGGCGGGCCTCGATCACATTGCTAGGTATGGCTCTCTTGCACCGTGTTACGACATAATGCGGGTATTAACCTCTGTCTAGCTCGCTCTCCCAAGATGAGATCCCATTCAAGCTGCGTTGCGCCATCTGTAGCAAGCTCGCGTGGAACGCCTTCAGATTGCCATGCTGTGACCAAGCAATATGCGAAGGCTGTACGTTCCCAATCTTTAATGAGATTGATGAGATCGAATAGACCAGATCTTAGCTGACTCGACTGGATTATGACCAGGCCAAACATCCCTTCCTTCCAGTTGTCCCGTGTGCGATCACAGCCCGCTCGACGCTGAGCTCTGCAAACCAAATAAGGCTCTGCGCACTACGCTTAAGGCATTTCTACGGACCGAGGAGAAGAAACGCGAGAAGAACAAGCCCGTCAAAGAACCTACTCCGCCAGCCCCCGCGGTCTCCGGCGCAGCTGAGACAGCTCCTGCTCCCATTCCCGCTGAACCGGAGCAGGCTCAGACTCAAGCCACTGGCAGTATCGCAGCCGATTCTGCTGACCCTACACCGACCAGTCTTATCACTGCAGCCCCCAATGGGCCAGACGTTGTGAATACCAGCCAGCAAGCCACTAGTGGCGGAGGGAACGCGGAATCACAGGCAGAAAATGATACTAAAATTGACATTGTAAGATTTGATAATTTAGTGCATCTTCATTGCCCAAATGCTGACAATTTCAAGGATGCCCACCCAAACGTAGCGAATGAGACGCTCACTACCGAAACGGCTAATACGGAGCCCGAAACTACGCCCACGACTTCATCTGCCTGTGCAGAAAGTGGTACTGTCGCACTACCTGATAATACAACTCTCCCTGAAGGGGGATATACCAATGGATTTGGCCAGATGGGCTGGAATGGAACAGGGGACTTTAACCAGGGAATGCCATTCATGGCCAACGGCATGATGATGGCCCAGAATCCAATGGGTAAGGATATTTTGCTTTCTTCCTTGGTGATGTTATGGTAGGATAGGGTTACTAACGTCATACAGGAGCTCCCGGGATGTTTGGAATGGGCATGGATCCGATGACCGCGGCTCAGGGAATGTTTACTGGCTACGGGATGAATATGAATGGGATGAACAGTAACATGGGCATGATGATGAATTCCGGTGCTGGGCAAGGAATGTATGGATCATGGGATGGTCAGAACAACATGTGGAATGGTGGTCCAGATAACTTCAATGGAATTGCATTCCCTAATCGCATGGGTGCCGACTTTGGCCCTGCTCCTGGAGTTGGTGGATATAATATGATACAGTCACAGTCACAGCCTCACCAAAAATTTCCTCACCTGCATCAGCAACAGAAATTTCCTAGCAATGATTTTCAAAACTCATATGGTCCCTACGGCCGCGGTGGCCCTGTTGCCGGGCGAGGAGGGCGAGGATTCGGCCCCGTCGGGCGTGGCCGTGGCTATCAGCCTGCTAACGGCTATCAAGGTAACCCTCTACCCCCTAACATGGGCGGCTTCCAACGCTATAATCAGCCTCAGTTCCAGCAGCAGCAGCCGCAGCAGCCGCAGCCACAACAACAGCAGCCGCAGCTCCTCAACAGTGTTTCAGGCCAGGCGGACGACGGATTCAACCCAGGTGGTGAGGAGGATATGAAGGAGCATCAGCCCAAGGAAGAGTCTGCTGAAACTCCAGCACAAAAGCAGCCTGCTGGCGGCGACGCAGCGGATGGGGCTGCGAGCTCAACGGCAGATCAGACTGCAAATCAACCAGCTGAGCAATCTACCAATACTGCAACAACCGCTGCTGCCAACGGAACTAGTGATACTTCGTCGTCCACTGCGGCTGCACATACAAACCCTATTCCTAGTTACTCCAGCACCCCTGCCTTTGGTGGTGGCCCGGGAGGTGGCAGGTACCATGGAAATGGCCCGGGCTTCCAGTCTACGCCGTATGTGAATGGAATGCCTAACGGGGTACCAAGTGGCCCCATGGCTTCAAACACCCCCATGGCCATGGGAGGCTTACGGGCGGCGGCACTAGGTCCAGGTCCTGGAGTTGCAGGAGCTCCGGCCGCGCCGCGAGCGATGCGAGAAGGCCTACCAAATACAAGCACCCGTAACATGAGAAATTTTGTTCAAAGCCACAGCCGAACGGTGTCGATGAGCCAGCCGTCTGTCAAGGAGTCTCGAAGGTATGACTGTTATCCAGCGTTTAACGCACCCTACATTACTACTAGGCTCTACTAATAAGTGACTACATCTAGCTCGTCCCCGGCTAAGCGTGATGCTGAGCCAGATGCACCAGCTTCGAGGGCTAGGTCTAAGTCTAGATCTAGATCGAGGTCAAAATCTAAGTCACCTTCACGCTACAGGTCTCGTCAGCGCCGCTACCGCAGCCCTTCGGCCGGACCTACACAGAGTGAAGACGAGAGAAGACGGGAGCGGCGCAGTAAGCGTGCTCGTCGGGATGACAATGAAAGGGAAGCCGATGTGAACGACGATAAACGTCCAACGTCTAGATCTCGCTCTTTTTCTCCTGGAGACACTAAATCGTCATCTTACCGTAGACGTGATCGTGAGAGAGACAGAGATCGCGATGATAGCTCTTCCAAGCGGTCTCGTCGGCGCCGTAGTCGCAGCCCAAGCAGACGAGATGGTAGAGCCGTCGATGCTTCTGATAAAAGTGACCCTGGCCTGTCTATAAAGGGGAGCTCGTCAAATCGACGTGATAAGCATAGATCTCGCGAAGATGTTGATGGCGTAGGGGAAGATCGCCACAGACAGAGAGATAAAGGCCGTGATCGCCATCGTGATCGAGAACGTGAGCGTGATCGCGATAGAGACCGTGATCGGGAGAGGGATAGGGAGCGGGACAGGGACAGAGACAGAGGCCGTCGTGACCGTAAAAGGTCCCGTCGAGATTACTCGGAGTCTCGCGACGATGAGGAATACAATGACCGTCGCTCTAGGCGGCCCCGGCATGAAGATAGCAATGAGCAGGTAGGTAAATCCCAGGAAACCAAAGCTGCGGATAAGTCTCGGCCAAGCGGCCATGCATCGAAAAACGGAGCCACTGCTGAAAAGGATCCTCACACGCTTGAACGAGAGGCTCGGAACAGAGAGCGCCTGTTGAAGGAACAGCAGCGACGAGAAGCCGTCAATGCAGACCGGGATAGCAAGGGAGGCGGCCGTCGTCGTGACGGTAATTCCAAGCTTGATCGCAACCTCCTAGGCAGGAAGCTGAGTTATAAATACGAAGATGAATTGGGTGACCATGAACGGGAGCGTGAAGCTGTTCGATGGTCTTGAACGGGATATGCAGAAATATACATCTGATGACTCTGCTCAATTCTGTATGCTCGCTGTTTCCCATTGAGTTCAAAAAGAGGACTGGAACCCCCGTTGGCTCTGTGAATAGATCTTTCCTGTGTCTAGTCTACTAGTCAATGTAACATTTTGCAGGGGCTTTGCTCGTTGGCTTCTTCAAATTTAACTATGCTGTTGGAAAATCAAGGTGACGTCACTTGAGGCTTAAAGCTATAAATAGACAGCAGTTTCAACTACTTGGAAGGACATCCGTTTACCATGTGTGTACATATACATCGATATTCCTTACAAAATCTCACAATTTGCTCAGTATGGAGGTAGCTTTCCAATCTTCTTGACCAGGCTATCATGGCTGTGTTGGAGTAGTTAATTATAGTTGAAGTGGACTGGAAAGCCAGAGCCTATTTGCAGGCACGCATCAAAGGCACAAGTTCTTTCATGGTAAAACGGGGCAAGATCACATTCAAGGGCAATGTATGTATATATATATGCATGTGAGCGGATAGTAATGCTGGGTTGTATTTATGGACAGGTTTGCAAAAGCTAAATAACAAGGCGGTGGAGGTGAATGTATATCTTTTTTATCCAATGCATGCATCCATGAATAAATATTTAATAAGCTAACGGGGCCGACATCAGGTCATGCACTACCCTATCCGAGTTTCGATTTGAGGCTGGCAACTTCAGATTTCAGGGCGTTGAGCTCCTCGGCCTGAGAGGTGATGGTTCGGGTTTGTTCAGTTAGCACCTCTTTGATGGCCTCAATCTCTTTGACTAGCGATGACTCCGAAGAGCTGGAGTCGGTAGCCTTGCTAGCTGGAGCCGGAGTGGCTGTGGCTGTCAGTTTTGCAGTGGGTTTTGATTCCTAAGAAGGTTAGCTGTAGTTCTAATATGTGCATATAAATTTCCATCAATGTGATTACGCACCTTTGGCTCCTCCTTAGATGGCTGAGAAGCCTCGGCCTGTACTGAGGAAACGGAGATGGAGGGTACTTTTTGAGGTTGGGACTTTGCCGCATCGAAACTCGAGCTGCCACCAGCCTCTTCCTCCCCATCCTCATCATTATCCATATACTTTGATGCGGCCGCAGCCATGGAGGCGCCTTGTTCTTTCATACCGGCGCGAGGGGCGATTACAGTAGCAGCTGGTGCGGGTATGGGTTCCGGTGTTGGTTTTGGGGCTGGTTCTGCCTGTTTGGCTGGCTCCGGTGCCTTAACTTCGGGCTGGCTTGTAGAAGCCACTGCGTCCGCAGGGAGCTCTTTCATGACTCCTCCTTCGTATAGTCTAGCCATGTCAATCTTGGGAGGAAGTGCTTCCTTGCCTGCAAACCATTCGCTGGAAGACATGGCAGGGCTGATGCCAGTAGTCGGTGGGTAGATGTCATCCTGGAACACCTCTGCACGGCGTGGAACAATGAAGGATATAGGTTCAATGTATGAGTCGTTAACGGTCTTATAAGCCCTTACGACCTCATTCTCATGCATGTTGACACCTCGCTTTGGCATAAATGCCACACCGCGCTGTGGATCGCCGGATTTGTACTCGGCTAAGAATTCAAATTTGTCGTTTTGGTACTCGAAGTATCGAATGTTTCCATCTCTATCGAGAGCTCGTTAGTAACGAATTGCGGAAATGGCGAGAGCTTGGGCATACCCCTTTCCTGCAAGGTATAGACACTGGGTACCCTGGTCCCAGAATGGCATGCAGACGCCAGAGATAGAATCTAGAACTTTGAAGCCATTGATAGGCTCCCTAGCAGCTCGAACATCCCATAGAGCCATTTGTCTATCACTCATCTTGGAAAAACCAGTTGTTGCAATACGGTCATGCTCACCCATCCAGACGGCTCGACTGTTCTTAGCACCAGGATGACCGGCACCTTCGTGTACTGGCTTCTCTTGCCGAACGTCCCAAATGCGCAGTTTCTTGTCACGGGAGGTCGTGACAAGCAAGGAGCCATTCGCACTCCACGACATAGACTGTATTACTTCGTTAACATTGAGAGTGAGTTTAGAGGCACCGGCTTCGATGTCCCAGATCTTTACGGTAAAGTCACCGGAAGAGGAAGCAAGGACGTTCTCGGCAGCAGGGTTGAACAGAACATGGCCGACTTTCCTAGTGTTCCGGTTAGCTTGAATGACTACCGAGGAATAGAGAGCCTACTAAAAAAAGTACGCTTACTTAGGATGACCTGGAAGTCTGCCGACTGGAGCAATATCTTGGATCTCTTCTGCATCTGTGTACAGAGTGAATCCCTCAGGCACTCTCCAAAGGAATACCTACAGCATTACATGTAAGATATAGTACTAGTAGATTAAAGACAAAGAAGGTAGTTATCACTTGCCTTTCCGTCATCAGCTCCAGAAGCAATCAGAGAATCGTTGAATGGGTTCCTGTGGCAAAGGTTAGCCGGTTCCCACCTCTCACTCCTACTGTGAGGATTGCTGACCAGTCTGTGTCGAGGACTACTGAGGTGTGTCCACGGAAGAGCGGAATACGCTCAGGGAGTCTGCCCTTCTCACGGAGGGGAATAACGGCGAAAGCTCCACCGCCCGCAGTCTCCCAGTTGACGGAGAGATATTCGGGATTGACCTGTGATACCATTAGCCATCCACTTCACCCCCCAAATCTTTCGTTTAGCTACAGAGCAGATATCACTGACCTTTAGCAGGTTGGTATCCCAAGCATTGGTAGAGACCCGAAGGCTATCGTAGCATTGGTCCTAGTGTGCCCAGCTGGAATGAGTATAGGGCGAACGAAACTCGGGAAGTCAGATTATCGGGCAGAATTTTGGACGTCTATGGAAGTACCTTTCGTGTGGAACGGCCGAAGATGTGTCCTGTTGTCAAAATGCGGCTGTGTCAGTCATCGTGCATGGAGGAGAGAGGGAGCACACGATAGATAGCCAAACGAGGGGGGTTAGGAGACGTACGATATTTCGACGAACGGACAAAACGACCAGCCATGGCGGTAGGAATCTGTGGTCTGGTTCAATGGCTTAAGCTGCCGATCTCTTATTCTTATGGCACACAGTTTACTTCGCTGGAGCAAGGAACTAAGGGTGAAGGAGGAGTCCTGGAGGTGAGATGTCTTCTTCAACGGCGCGGAGATTAACAGTTAGCTTGGGGTCGCAGGTAACTAGTTAGTTAAATGACAGCGCTTACATAGCATGCACAACTAACCCAGGCCCCACGTCCGCAACAATAACAACAGCCAGACAGGAAAATAGCTGTGCCCCTTGGTCAGGTCTATTCGCTATATACACCGTCGAATGCCGTCGTCGCTGCTCGTCCGGCGCCCTCCCTCAACGAAGATGTTGTTATTGCGATCTCGAACAGTCTGCATTACATCAGCAGATTATGTCACCAGCCACGTGAGAGATGACATAATCAAGTATCTTTTTTTGTTTACTTTCTATCCGCTTTGGGAAGTCTGTGATGATATCTCGACCAGCTCGACGGCTGACGGACAAGTTGAGACCACAAACAACGGCGATAGACAGAGAGCGACCCGGCGAGATGGACGAAGGAGATACGCAGACCAGAGTGAGTCGAGGGGATACTTCCTGCTTCCCCATTGGCACTGGCGTTGTCTTTTGCTGACCACAGAAAACTAGCTTTCATCGAGCGTCTCGAACATCCCACGCCCAAAGCACTCGTACACGCAGCCAGAGGGTCTGAGGGATATCACGCATACTGCGAATAATGCAGCAGGCCGAGCTCTGGCTGCTTCAGGCGCCAGTAGTGACAAAAGTACCCAATTGAAACCTCCCACCCTGTACCGGATGATGTTAACGTTTCTACCCCACTGCGCCTAGAGAGGAAAACGCTGAGCGAGCGCGCAGGGGAACCGAGAAAGAAGGAGAATCTAAGCTCAAAGTCCTTTGCTGGCTCCACGAAATCCGGACTGCCCAAGAGTCTGGGTACATCGAAGACCGCTGTCTCTCGCGTACCGACGAACGGATCGAGACTAAGACCTCCGCCAGGCACGCGCAACATTCCTCGCCCGCAGACGTCAATCGGTCATCTCAATGTTGAGAAAGGATCTGTCTCGCGGCCCGCAACATCTATGGATGGCCGGGATGCTGGCTCAAACCGAAATGGTGCGCGTCAGCCCTCATCCCTTTTATCTACTACACCTTTAGCCCCTCACTCCCCTTCACCGACCCCCAACCTACCTAGCAAATCTCTTTCACCTAAGAGCTATGATGTCCGGGTTGATGGTGCTTCCAATCAATTGAGGTCATCCCCTGCTCATACCCCCTCCCGCAACCCATCACTATGCACAGCTATGCAGTTGCTATCCCTTAACCACAAGCCTTCCTTGGACACTTTCAATCCAAATGTACACCCACACTTATCTACACCATCCAAGATTCCTACACCAGTTCGCCCCCTGCTATCATCGCATACCGCTTCCTCGATTCCCCCTTCCCCTTTCATACTTAAGAAAACCCGCAAGCCACGCTCCCCCAGAAAAGTGAAACGTTTTCTAACGATAGACACCGAAGTCCAAGCCTGGGATCAGGATGAAAAGGAACAGAGAATTTCGGATAACATGACCCATGTCCGAAAAATGGTCGAAGAAATGGTGAAGCAAACTGCCGCCATGACAGAGACCACCGATCTATACAAGTCACGCAGTAGGACCAACACTTTGTATCAATTGTATTACCCACAGACGATTACTGACTTTCTTGACAATGAAATATAGCCCAAATGCTGGAAGAGAACCAAACTAAGCTCCTACACCAAAATGCGGACTTACGGGTCGAACTTGAGACCACAAAAAATTCGTTGACAAATACTGAATTAAAGTTGAAAGATCTATGTCGTGAGCAAGAAATTGCGCTTAGTGAACTTGCAACCCAGCACCGAAACCAGTCCGAGAGTATACGTCAAGATGCTCAGGCTGAAATCGCCGCACTTATGCAACAGCACCGAGCCGAGCTTGCCGAGACAAGACACAGATTCGAAGCCGAACTAGAGCTAGAGCGGCAGCTGAGAGCACAGGAACTAGAACAGGTCGCTGCTCAGTCGTCCCTGGACAAGCAACGCGACCAGCTTGATTTAAACAACAAGGACCGAGAGATACAAGATCTACTCACCCAGCAACACAGGCTGCAGGATGATCTTGCGCGGGAGCGTGCCCTTAACAAGGAATTACAACAAAGTTCCATTGTGAATGCCAATAATACTATTACCCTAGAATCATCTATCCGCGCACTCAAAGCAAGAATCGAGTTTCTGGAGTCGGGGAGCAAGGAACAATCAGACGCATTTGCAAAGCTTGATGAAGAACTTCGTGCGGCACTAGAAGAGACCAATGCCACAAAGGCACAGCTACGGAAGGAAGAAACTCTTCGACGAAGACTACATAACCAGATTCAAGAACTAAAAGGAAATATCAGGGTTTTTTGTCGGGTCCGGCCAGTGCTAGCCAGCGATTCGAGTGAAAACACTGCCAAGATATCTTTCCCTGACCAAGATATGGATTGCAGAGAGATCACAGTTCAAGGGCCGGAAGAGAAATCAAGTCTAGGCTTAATCAGTGCAAAGAACCATTCATTCACATACGACCATGTTTTTGGGCCGAGGTCGCAGAATGCAGAAGTATTCGAAGAAATTAGCCAACTCGTTCAAAGTGCCTTGGATGGTTATAATGTCTGCATATTCTGTTACGGCCAAACAGGGAGCGGTAAAACGCACACCATGTCTTCTGAAGACGGTATGATACCTCGTGCTGTTCGCCAGATATACGACACCGCCCACGGCCTCGAGGAAAAAGGCTGGCAGTATACAATGGAGGGAAGCTTCGTCGAGGTATACAACGAAAACATCAATGATCTCCTGGGAAAAGCTGAAGAGTTTGATAAGAAGAAACACGAAATTAGGCACGATCTCCAAAAATGCCAAACCACTGTCACCAATGTCACCACAGTCAGCCTCGACTCGCCCGAAAAGGTGGAGTCGATCCTTCAAAGAGCTTGGGCAAATAGGTCTGTTGCTGCCACCAAGGCTAATGAACGCTCGTCTCGCTCTCACTCCGTCTTCATCCTCCGGCTCGTAGGCGACAACTCAATAACTGGAGAGCACAGTGAAGGCAATCTGAACCTGGTTGATCTTGCGGGAAGTGAGCGTCTTAGCCACAGTGGCAGTACCGGCGACAGGCTCAAGGAGACCCAAAACATCAATAAGAGTCTCAGCTGTCTCGGAGATGTTATTAGCGCTTTGGGACAGGGTAAGGAGGGTACTCATATTCCGTATAGAAACAGCAAGGTATGCAAGCTTTGACCCAAACTTTCCCACATTACGTCTCGACCTAACGCCAATATCTCAAATAACAGCTTACCTACTTGCTCCAATTCTCCTTGGGCGGCAATTCCAAAACACTCATGTTCGTTATGGTTAGTCCGCAACAGGATCACCTCAGCGAGACCCTCACCAGCCTGAAATTTGCTGCAAAGGTCCAAAATACCCATGTCGGCACCGCAAAACGACAAACACGTATGCGTGATTTGTGATAAGCCCAGGAGTTCATCATCTTCCCGGCCCGAGGGAGAATTTTTTTTGGAATGTGAGAGGTGCATTATTCGGTTTTTATCTTCGGTATGATGGAATGAAGGATAAGGATTCTTTTAACGAACCCGGCGTTCGTATGATCATCCCATCTCATCCTTGTTAGTTGGAAGCAGGGGTTTGGGCTTGGGACATTGGTGTCCCGTTGTTTGTTTATAATAAATACTTAAATGTGTATTTTGGTGGCTATTTGGTATGGCGTTAGGAGAAGTTTTTGACGACTGCAATGACAACCATACTTACTATATTATATATATGGGAAAAGACTGGAATATTCCTACACTCAGTCCACTAACTAGGAATCTCGGCAGTTCTACTTCAGGCCATTATTGCCCTGGATCATTTAAACATCCTACCCGGCAGTTGTTAAATCCTGCGAGAAACAACAATTTCAGCTACGAAGATCATCCCTAGGGATCACTTCCGTGACACCCACTACTTCTACAGAGTATCGAAAGTCGCATAGAGCGAAAGATAGATCTCTGAGTAATGCTGGCCAGGGTCGATCAAGCATTGTGGATTACGTTCAGCATCAGAGACAGCTAGCTTCAGGTTGACGCAGTGGTGGTGGATGCTGCTGGGAGGCTGGAATCTCCCACTGTTTTAGCCAGCTAGTGCTGATTCAGAAAAGGACTAACCAGGTACCCTTTCGACCCACGAGATAATTCCAGACATAGTCGGATACTTCGACGGCACATGACAATTGAAGGCAGATAGAAAACAATCACCGATCAAGCGGTCATTATCTCGTTTTTCCCCTAACTTCCCCCGGATTTTATCAAACGGCCTTCGGTTGTTAAGTTTGAGCGGTTCAATAAACCCCAGATTTGCTTAAAAGATTGGTATTGATCTTACGGCCGACTTACTCGACGGCTCTAAACATAGAGCTGGGAGGAACGAATACCGTCAAATGGAGAACTGGCGGAGGATATGCGCCCGTTTCTGCTCTCAAGTTTTTCTTTTAGTCGTCTTTCTCCAGGCTGAAGGCAGGGTATCCATTTTTTAAAACTGGGCCTGGCTCTGGAATAGGCAAAGGAGCAGCAGATAAGGGGCTGAAAGTGATGGCTTTGCTTTTCTGTCTGTGGATCTGGCCTGCGCAAGAAAAAAAACTCATCCTCCAACTGGCCTTTGTTACGATCACAGCGCGAGATTTGGACGTTCCTCCTAGTCTCTTCCATTTCCTTTGTGGTGCCATGTGCTAATCTGCCTTTTCATGGAAGGGTTTAATCCGCGAACCGAGGGAGGCCATCGGGGCATCTCCGGCTAGAGATGCCCAACGTTTAACGGGCTCGAGCGCGCCTATCAAAGCTGGCCGGCCGTTCGATGGCGATTTTGACTCGGCCTGGCCACTGCTAGTTACCGGAGCCCTCCGACAAAAAGCCCTCTGTGTGGCTCCTTTTCCCCTTTATCTTCCCTGACCGTTGCATTTCTTGCTTGCTTAACCGTATGTCCGAGCGGAATCTAGTTACGGCGGACTATCTGTGCCATCGGGTCAAAATTCATTTTTATAACCACCAGAGAAGTGGTTTCTGATTATATAATCAAAGAATATAGAGATATTATTAGATAGAATATGAAACTTAATTACTAAGTAATACTCCTTATATTTTATCTTACTTACCTAAGCACACTTTTTCTTAAGGTCACACACTTCCTTCTTTGGCCCACGGCCTAGCTTCTCCCCCTAAGTCTCCTCCCTAAGCTAGCACCAGCCTACTCTCAAGCCTGCCTCTCTGAGTATACTCTCTCTAATAGAAGCAAGAGACTCAAGTAAGAGAAGCCCCTAGTAAGAGAGGCATAGAGAAGAGACCGAGAGAGCAGACGTAGGGGAGAACAGACTTGGAGGGAGAGTAGGTATAGCGGGAAGGCTTGGGGCATGCTTAGAGGAGGGAGCTTAGGGAAGAAGCTAGGCCGTGGGCCAAAGAAAAAGGAAGTGCTTAAGAAAAAGGGTGCTTAGGTAAGGTGTGTAAAGTATCTATCTATGTAAGAAGGTCCTATTCAAAATACCTCTATTATCATTGGCTACGTGGAATTATCTCATACAGGGTAAAACGAATTCTGACCCTGGTGCATTTAGTCCGCCGTACTAGTAATATCATGGCCAAGCGGTAGCATCAAGAGTGGAATTTTACCTCTGACTACCTACCGAATATCCGAGAAGGAGATAATTACTACTTTACTTCGGATACAACGTGTGTCAGGGCACGCGGGATAACGCTTGTTCTAGGTGGAGCATTTCTGGGTATCGGTATGAGGCGGATTGGCGGCTTGACATTCCTTCAATTCGACGAGTACAGAGTACTCTATACAGATACTACGTGCTCTCTATTATTAGATACTCCGTACGCTCTATTATTGCCATCCAGCTTCTCTGTTGCACAGCTGCGAATTGCACAGCGACTACTCTGTAGTTCCCCAACATGATGTGCATATAGATCCAGATTCCTCCTCTGCTCCGGTCTGCTAAGCAGGCTAAGCTTTGCATCAAGAGATGCTTGGGAGAGCCAAAACGTCAGCTCCACCCCTGGCCTCTCCAGTCCCCAGTTCCATGATTAACTTATCAAGGCTGCACACGCTAGTGGCCGGAGATGCGCATCACCAGCGAATAGCAATTGTTCCATACCGGCTTTCCTCATTGTTGGTGGGGGTTCACCAACACACCCATTCCAGTCAATCCTGGTCAATTTATAATCCTCTCGTCGGCGCTGACCACCAACAGAAGTCTTATTATTGTTATTTGTGGTTGCATCATGGGGTCGCTCAAAGCTTTCTCCACAGATTGGCGTGGTCGGGGTGAGAGAGGGGGATGTTTGCAGGGGATCTCGCTATGCATCAGCCGTGGCCGCACGAAATCTGGACAGCGAATATTTAAATGGCTGCCCACCCTCAAAGGAGCCTGTTACGTTCGTCCTGCCATTTCCGCCTGAGAGAAGAGACCGAATAGCGAATAGCGGGGGGGAACTCGCTGGGATTTATTTGGCTATACTGCAGAATTATCGTGCGGTTCGAGGCAAACCCTGGTCGAAAGTCGCGTGCTTTCTGAGGCAGCAGCAGGGCTAACCACCAGCATCATGCCCAATATCTTCACCCAGAATTTGGGCGAGACCCCTCGCCAGGCCTTGAACTGGAGGCTAGGATATGCTATCTTGTGTTTTGGTCTGATGGGTGCTAGTCGAGGTAACCCATACATTGATGTTATAGTGGTGTCTAGTTGGTTGTCAGCGAAAAAGCTGACTGTATTTCCCCCCTTCCAGGTATCGACGAGGGCCTCATCTCAGGCACAGTCCAACAGAAAGCTTTCATTTCAAAATATCGCCTTAAAGACCCTCTCCTAAGCGAGTCTGAAAAGGCTAATCTTCTCGGAAATATCACTGCTATGGTGCAGATTGGAAGCATAGGAGGTGCTTTGCTGTATGTTCCCCCGATTCCCCTATATTGACTAGCGGCACCCGTACCGGCGCTTAAGGCGTCAAAACATTCTAGTGCCTTCCTTATTACCGACAAGATTGGCCGTCTATGGGCAACTCGACAACTCTGCCTCATCTGGATAACCGGTATCATTATTTTCATCACCTCCAATGGAAGAATCGGCCAGGTGTACGCTGGCAGGTTCATCGCCGGTCTTGGAATTGGACAAACCGCTGTTGTTGCTCCTACATATCTGGCTGAAATATCTCCACGTGCTATCCGTGGTCTTTGCATCTGTACATTTTCAGGTGCCGTGTATCTTGGTATCATGCTGAGTTACTTCGCCAGCTGGGGGTCTGCTCTTCATATCAGTAGCCACTCACAAAACCAATGGGTATGTGTTCTCCTTTGCCCAGCCGTATCGTAACCTCCATTACTGATTCATTTGCGTAATTAGATCGTACCAACCAGTCTCCATTTGATGTTTGCTGGTATAATCCTTCTTTTGTCCATTGGTGTCCACGAATCCCCCAGATTCCTGGCTAGCAAGGGTAAGAAGGAAGAAGCCGCTGCCACCATGTCAAAGATCCGTAACCTGCCAGAGGATCACCCCTATGTTCAGACCGAGATGCTAGACATTTTTGAACAGGTGGAGCGTGAGAAAGAGGCTACCTTGGGCCTCGGCTGGATAGGACCGCTAAAGGAGCTCTTTATGACCCCTTCGAACCGATGCCGCATAATGCTTGGATTGATGTCCCAGCTCTTGGCTCAGTGGTCTGGCGCAAACAGTATCACTATCTACGCGCCAACCTTTTTCGCTATGCTGGGAACCACTGGCCAGTCAGAGAAGCTCTTTGCAACCGCCATTTTCGGTGTTGTGAAGCTCGTTGCTTCACTTGTCTGCGCTCTGTTCCTTGTTGATATGCTTGGTAGAAAACGGGCCCTCACTTATGGCATCATCCTCCAGTTCCTGAGCATGCTGTACGTGGCCATCTATCTTGCTGTTGTCCCAGAAATCACAGAACACTTCAAGCCAATGGGCAATGCCAAACGCGCCGGAACAGCTGCCATTGTCGCCATTTATATTTCTGGAGTCGGCTGGGCACTCGGATGGAACAGCATCCAGTACCTTATTAACGCCGAGATCTTCCCTCTCCGGGTCAGAGCTCTCGGATCCTCGATGGTTATGTGCTTCCATTTTGCTAATCAATAGTAAGTCTGTCGTGTATATAACTCTCGGTGGTTTCGGTAATATATCGACTGACACTACATAATAGTGGCAACTCGAAAGCGGTTCCCTCCATGCTTCTTGAAACTGCCATGAAGCCTCAGGGTACTTTCTTCTTCTTCGCTGCCGTTACCTTGCTTGGCTTAGTATGGATGTGGTTCTTCCTCCCCGAAACCGCAGGTAAGTCCCTTGAGGCCATGGACGAGATGTTCAATCTCCCTTGGTATGTCATCGGACGTAAAGGAGCTGCATTGACGGCCGGTGCTGGACACGCCGAGAACTATATGCGGGATGACGTCGATAAGGTGATTCAGCGTGAAGTATCCCACGAAGAACAAGTTACGAGCAGCGAAAAGTAGGCATTTACTGGCTGCCATTCTCTCCTGGCTAGGCTTTTCTAGACGTCCTTTATATTAAGTAGCAAGCAAGCTATGATCAATAGTACATTTTCACGACCTAAATCTCCTTTAACTGTTTAGTTCATGTCAACAGGGTGACGACAGTATATATCTCTCATGAATAAGGCTGCTGTACAGTGGTCAAATATCTAGTTATTTAATTAGAAACAACAACCTCACCCCAACCACTGTCCAGCACCAAAAGTATCAGATTTCCGGCTACACCAACACCAAGGCTACAGGAACAAAGAACAACCGATGTTGAACACGGGTGAGCAAGTATTTGCGTCCGTGTCAACAAAATGAACCCTGCGCCATTGACGGTTTTAACAGTAGGGTGCGAATCCCACCAGCCAGAGATTTAATGGGATCTATGGATACCAGAGGCATAACAAGCAACCTTGAGTCGAGTTGACCAAGGCTTCATAGGGAATAAGAAGAGGCCTCATAATGACAGAATCTTACTTTCTTTCAATCAATGCTGCTTTTCTTATGGATTTTGTTTTCTAATGACCCTGTTCGCGGACGCCATCTAAGAGCGAGCTAGCTATTTCAAAACAACCTATGACCTAGACCTCCAGGACAGCTTTAAGAAAGCAGGCACCATCAACATCACGGCGATGGAGTCTGACCACGCTGTGTACCCGGCGTGTCTTGGGAGAAAAGACGGGGCACTAGTTGGTGATGACCTAGGCAGCTTCCGTCCGGAATTTTGGTGCCAGCTGAGGCTCCATAGCTCATTAACTGATGCAGCTTGTGTGCAGGACACAAGTTGTTGCAAACCGACTCCATATATCGAGCAAAAGTACACCCTTGGTCGAAAGTGATATTGTTACTCCAGCGATAATGGCAGACGACCGGACGTCACCAGGGGTCAAGAATATCCTTTAAGTTATTGGCGGAGAGTATAACAACTCACTTGATTAACTATTATTTGAATTATGCCCGGATGACACCAAGACTATGTGGCTTGCATGTGTTTGCATGAGGCTCCCAGAAGCTAAATAATAGCTAAGTTTGTGTGCAGCCACCACAGCCGCTGATATTGGTATCTTGACACAGAGCGTGACAGGATGGCTGTACCACAAGGCATGCCGATTAAACGGGGGAGGACTTTTGCCTCCATATTTGGGGAAATCCATGGTACACACAGGAGGCACGATGAATTCGCGGGGTTGGCATATTGTACAGGGACTGTCGTACTCTCTGCCTGGCGTATCGTCCATCCTTTCTTAATCCCTGGCTGGTTATAACGATACATCCTCGACCTATAACTAGTGAGTTAGTGGTTACAGCATGCGGAAGGCGGCTTGATTTGCCAAATTCGCCGAAGCAACAGACAACCTTTGGTCTACAGCTTGAAGCTTCGCCTCTAAATGAGAGACTTGTGCGGACCGCATGATGTTCTTCGAGCGCTATTACTAGCGAACAATCATTTGACTGGAGAGTCCATACGCAGTCCTGGACTCGCTAAGTAGCGAAGCCGGTGCTCTCACCATAACCAGTCAACTTGTCTCCGGCGAGTCAAGCCGACTACGATCACACAAGATAGGACACACTCGAGCATGGGAACCAAGCGTTGCTGCTTGCCGCTGGGTCGTGCGAATGGCGTCACCAGGATTGGGAGAGCACAGCATAACTACGGTTGTAGCAAGCGGGTATTTCATATGCCACCCTCTCATCCCTGCACTTTTGGTCAGGTTTCCTGGCTCCTTAGCCACGGAGTATTCACATAGTTACTTCGTGCGGAATGTTTATCCTCTCCAGCTCAGAAACTCTGGTCGGTCTTTGGTAGGGGGCTGCGCCGCTGTGACTCCTCGATTACCTGAATTTTGATCTTTTGGCCCCTTTTTCTATCAGTCAAACGACAAATGTCAGCCGAGATATTGTGATACAGATGGGTTGCACCGAAGGAGCCAGCCCGGCGTTGAAAAGAGCGTGCCTTACTTGGCATGTGGATGTCCTTTTTCTTATCATGCACCCCGTAACTAGTTTCTCCGCACAAGAAGATATCCTTTTCTTCATGCCGGCATGGAGTCCGGGGCCGAGAGAACTCAGCTCGCGGCATTGCAATATAACTGGCTGGCCAGCCGGATGATGGATGGAGTCTGCTGTCCCGAAGTCGCCAAATCACCCAAACCCCCAGGGTCGATATCAAACAAATGACAGCGAAGTGAACCAGCGCACCCCCTCCACCCCCTGGTCGGGTCGCATTTCTTGACTTCGGACTCTGAATCCATTTCCGCCCTTTCTAACCACTTTGATCCCGGCTTGAGTAGTAGTCGCTGGCCTTGTCACGCTTAAATCCCAAGGGGTGGCGAAAGGGCAAACGAGTGCTCGAGCGAGGCGAATCCAGCGCTACGCTGACAGGCGGCCCGCTATCTCGAGATCTTCGCATCAACCGTCTAGTTAGTCGATGTTGAGGAACTGGCGTTCTCTCCATTCTTATTTTCAGATATCGTCTGGTGTTAGGTTAAGCCTTGATCAGCAGCAAACCGATCATCATTGGGCCGTGCATGTTGACCTGTTTCCTGGATCAAAAGGGACGGATCGCAGTGTCGATTACTGATGGGCCACTGGGAATAGAGGCGTTTACTAAGCTACAGCTGCTGCGAAAATACTGGGGATTGACGTGCAGATCTGGGGGTGTGATCGTCGATGCCACAGTAAGTGGATTTATGATATCACTGCCCAAGGCCAGGGGTCGGATAATGCCATTCCTCCCTAGGGCGAGAGTGAAATTCTCGAGCCTTCCCACCCTCCACCTTGGCTAAAGAAGGGAAGCTAGCATGTGTTTATGCTATATATGGTACTCTTCGCCTTGCCTGAAAGTTTATAGAGGCCTCTTTCTTGTGCCTTTCTGCATTCCCCGCGATTGATCGCCAATATCTAACGCCATTTGATATATTGGCTGTATACCCACCGCGCTCTTGGCTGCTATGAGGTAATCTATCACGAATATCTGCTTCGTATCGATGGCGGGAGTGGAGAGCACGCAATTTTTTTTTTCCCCTGGCGTCCTGATCTTTCTTTCGCTTGCCTTTGGACACCCCGGGTGAAGAACCGAACCCCGGCTTTGATATTCCTACGCCGGCGGTAAAGCATGAGCCAGAAACAGGGGCAGTGTTACTCATTATACAAACACCGTCTAGTCCTGAAGATCTGCCGCTCACTCTAATAGCTGTTATCATGCGTTTTGCCATGATCAACACCAAAGATCGTCGACAAAACCATTGTACTGGACAAGTTGGTCAGAGCTTTTTATATCGGTCAACAAATCTCGGCTTGGATGGACCGTAGAATATTCGCGAATACCAGCCTCTCCCAGCCCATACTCCTACAGGGGTATGGGCATCACAAGATGGGTTCACGCTCCTCAGACCCCTGAGACCTGCGGTGTTACCGCGGCCATCCGTTTGAATCAGGCTTGCAGCATGACGATCTCAACCTTGGGACTGCCAGAGAGTAGATGGTGGCTGACCAATATTTGCTTGCTCGATGTATGTCTCCCCGGAATAGCAATAGACACTCCCGTTCCTGGGCTGACTAGGCCTCTCCGCATCTTGCCGATGATATTTTTATACCATCACTTTTGTTATTCGCTAGAGATACGTGCCTGGTATTCAACTCGCCGGCGATATTACATGGTTGCATACCTTAGGAGAAAAAAGCATGTCTGGGAGCCCGAGGCGTGCGGAGCATTGTCCCGCACACCCTCTCATGAATCAAGGGCTGGAAAGATGACCAGGTCTCCCTAGGGTAGCCGGGGTGAAGTGAAGGGGGCGGGAGGAGGGTCTTTGGGCGGGTATAAAGGCTGGCCATCAATCCCATCTACTCGAGTATGTCTATACAGCAATTCATCAACATTTCAATCAACCAGAATCTAGCAACTCCTCACAATGGGCTGCATCAAGGTTATCTCCGTCTTCCTAGCGGCCGTCGCTGCCGTTGATGCCCGCGCTTTCTTCCACAACCGTGGCGGCAACGATGTCATCCCCAACTCCTACATCGTTGTCATGAAGGACGGTGTCACTGCTGAGGATTTTGACTCACATATCTCCTCTGTTGCTGCCACCCACAGCCTCAACAAGGCTAAGCGTGGCTCCGAGACTGTCGGACACAAGGACTCCTTCAACATCAACGGATGGAGAGCCTATAACGGCCACTTCGACGAGGCCACCATCGAATCTATCCTCAAAGATGACAAGGTTAGTCCTGAAGCCCTCTGGAGTCCTTTGTACCTTTCTTTCTGCCCTTCTTCTGGTTTATTCTGACAGGCAAGTCTAGGTCAACTATGTAGAGCACGACCGCGTTGTCAAGTTGGCCGCTCTCACCACCCAGCCAAACGCTCCCACCTGGGGTTTGGGCAGAGTCTCCCACAAGGCTCCTGGAAACAAGGACTTTGTCTATGACAGCTCTGCTGGCCAAGGCATCACCATTTATGGTGTTGACACCGGTATTGATATCCACCACTCTGAATTCGCTGGCCGTATCCGCTGGGGAACCAACACCGTCGATAACGACAACACTGATGGCAACGGCCACGGAACCCACACCGCTGGTACCTTCGCTGGCACTACATACGGAGTTGCTAAGAAGGCCAACATTGTCGCCGTCAAGGTCCTTTCCGCTGGAGGCTCCGGTTCTACCTCTGGCGTGATCAAGGGTATTGACTGGTGTGTTACCGACGCCCGATCCAAGAACACTCTCGGAAAAGCCGCCCTCAACCTTAGCTTGGGCGGCTCTTTCAGCCAGGCTAGCAACGATGCTGTCACCCGTGCCCAGGAAGCTGGTATCTTCGTGGCTGTCGCCGCTGGAAACGACAACGTAAGTCACAGGTCCTTCACCTCACTTCCCACTCGACGATACTAATCACACTTTAAATAATATAGAGGGATGCCAAGAATTCTTCCCCGGCCTCTGCTCCAGCTGTCTGCACCGCCGCCTCCTCCACCATTGATGACCAGAAGTCCTCTTTCTCCAACTGGGGTACCATTGGTAAGTTATTATTCGATTCTCAGGGCCTACCTTATCCCTCGCCTCTCTCACATTCCGTGACTAACACATTGGAATAGTTGACATCTATGCTCCCGGCTCCAACATCCTCTCCGCTGCCCCAGGAGGTGGTACCCGTACCCTGTCCGGAACCTCCATGGCCTCTCCCCATGTTTGTGGTGTCGGTGCTGCTATGCTTGCCCAGGGTGTTAGCGTTGCTCAGGCCTGCAACCGCTTGAAGCAGATCGGTAACGCCGTTATCCGCAACCCAGGAACTGGCACCACCAACCGTCTCCTCTACAACGGAAGTGGACGATAAAGAACTAATCCCCTGAATGCGTCTTGCCCTAGCTTTACGCTAGTGGTAAAGGGTGCTGTCACCTATTTTTGATCAATATGACGCTTGCCGTGGCCGGAATGTTGATTGATGTACATACTTCTCAATCAGTTACATGCACATAGTTTTGCTTCACCTTGGACATGTTAAATGTGCCGAGACTACCTTCGTTACTTGCTTCTGCAACGCCGGAGCCAATGAAGACGCAATCTTATTTAACCTGCTTCTTGATTCATCCGGCCCTTGAAGAAAGGCATCTGTAGTTGTGATGATTGTTCCATTTTCAAAAGTCGAACTTGGATAAAATAAAGTTGAAATAGTGCTCGCTGACTAAGGAGCTGCTAACAAAGTTCTAAACACGTGGCAGTCACCTAAGTCTTGGCATTCATGCGGCGTGGATCCGGATGGATTAGGAAGCCGCGAGAAGTAACCGGGATTACGTAACATGTAGATCAATCAGGAGAAGCGGAAGATCCACAACGAGGCGATGTGTAATTATATAGGGAACACTTACAGGAAGGCAGCGAAAGGAAAATAATATATCCTGAGCCTACGCCGATAATCAATTTTCTTCTTGCCAAGTGCTCAAGCTCGATTGCAGTTTGGTGGCTGCATACTAGTTACGTATTCTGATTAACTAGAAACGAGTCACTATGAACAAGACTTCTCGAACGGATGAGCCGTATGAAGGAGATGGCTACAACCAGAATCCGAATCCTCTTTCGAACGATTTAGTCACCAATGAAGCCCTGAATGGGATTGTCAACTCGAGGGAGCTGAAGAAGGAGGACCCGCAGTCCTTACATGGAGAAACGCAGATTGTTGACCGTGATAAAAATGCCAATACCCATCCTGCTACGGGGTCGGGCGAGGCGTCGAACTCGCTGGCCAGTCCACTGACTGGTCAGCTCCCAAGAGGAGATAACAAACTTCCTCTGTCACAAATAGCTACTGTTACACCAGATAACGAAGCAGCAGCCCCCTCTGGCCCAGAGAATAGCTGTGATTCCCCAATTGAGCGGGTTAAGAAAGTTTTGCTCAAATTTTGCGCTTTTATTGGCCCGGGATTTATGGTATCTGTGGCATACAGTATGGGACATTCTTCGTTCTCGTTTTAAGAACGTCTATGTCAGTGCTAATATCGTTCAATCTAGTTGACCCTGGTAATTATTCAACTGGGATTGCTGCTGGAGCATCGTATCGCTTTCGGTTGCTGTTTGTTATTCTCATGGCGAACCTATTCGCCATTTTGCTCCAGTCTCTTGCTATTAAGCTTGGAACTGTGAGTGGACTAAATTTAGCAGAGGCATGTAGAGCCTTTCTCCCACGATGGCTCAACATCCTGCTATATATTCTTGCCGAGGTGGCTATTATTGCCACCGATATTGCTGAGGTATGTAAAGTCGTCGTACTAAACCACCCTATGACTGGACTAGCCTTGCTGACCTGAAATAAAATAGGTAATTGGATTTGCGATCGGATTGAATCTCCTTATCCCAAAGATACCGCTGATTGTCGGATGCGCAATCTCAATCTTCGACGTCATGATTATTCTTTTTTTCTATCGTCCAGATGGTTCCATGAAGGCTCTGCGTGTCTTTGAGGCTGTCATCATGTGTTTGGTGTTAGGCGTAGTCATTTGTTTTTGCATCCAACTTTCACTCATAAAGAACGCTACTGTAGGAGAAGTCTTTAGGGGATATTTGCCATCCGAACAGCTCGTTGAGGGACAAGCGTAAGGCCCCACCCATCTTTCCTTGAAACATTGCTAACCAGATGATAGCATCTACCAAGCATGTGGTATTCTCGGAGCAACAGTCATGCCGCACAGCCTCTACCTAGGGTCAGGAATAGTTCAGCCACGTCTGCGAGAGTATGATGCGAAAAGCAAACTCTTGCCGCCAGAACTACTGTCAGCGTCTTCTTCCGTCAGCGAAGGAGTCGACAAGGATAAATTGCACTACATTCCGTCCATCCGCGCGATCAGACACTCGCTGAAAATCTCTATTGCCGAACTGACGGTCTCCTTGTTTTCCTTCGCCCTCTTTGTCAATTCAGCAATTCTTATTGTTGCAGGTGCATCCTTATACAAAAATAAGGATGCTCTAGAGGCAGACATATTTGGAATTCACGCGCTTTTGTCAAAATCCATTTCTCCTGCAGTGGGCACAATTTTTGCTCTGGCATTGCTGCTTTCTGGAATCTCTGCCGGAGTTATTTGTACCATTGCTGGCCAAATGGTGAGCGAGGGTGCCTTGAATTGGAAGCTTCGGCCCTGGCTACGACGTTTGGTAACTCGAAGCATCAGCATCGTCCCAAGCATCGTAATAGCAGCAGCTGTGGGGCGTCAGGGACTGAACGCAACATTGAACGCATCCCAAGTAGTATTGAGTATTGTCCTGCCATTTATTACGGCACCCCTGATCTACTTTACTTGTCTCAACAAGTATATGACCGTTCAGCCCGGGAGTGCACGTTGTCTTGCACGCAATGAAGACATATTCCGGAATAACCGTCTGGTCGTTGGGGCTGCAGACCAGGGTGAAAGCATTATTAAAATGGCAAACTCATGGTACATAGCTGTCATCGCTGGGATGGTGTGGCTTTTTATCACCGTGATGAACGTCGCTAATCTGGTGCTCCTTGGGCAGGGGGCATGATTTCTCCTTTGAATGTGTGCTTTTCCACCCCTGTCCTTGGGGTTTGAGACAATAACCAAAGGCATCGCCGTCCTGCATGCCAAATACCACAGGAAAGTTAAGTATAAATGTGTATCGACTCTCCACAGAAGTTAAAGTTAGAGGCATTCCTAAAATCCAACAAACCATATGACTCCCTTGGCTGCACTTCTACAGCTCTAATACAGCTGGCATAAACCCTCTTACTCCATTACTCAGCCATACCTCTTCCCCGGACTTTAGTGTGTCAACCCGGATGACACCCTCGGAGCAGATGCCAGTATCTAGAGCATAACGCCGAGTTGTTGCTGAGTTTCCGCCACAGGATAGTAGAGGTGTAATCCATTCATCAACAACAGCGGTTGAGTTGTATGTTTTATCAACTACTCTTTTTCTAAAGTAAACCGTGGTAATGCTGCCTTCCATGGCCTCACCATTGAGGTTGTACATAAGAACTTCAACTGGGGCGGCCACAGATGGTAGGTTGGCCCTCATCCGGGCGGCATTATACACGTCTCTAAAAGTGGTCTTGTGCTTGGTGAATAGAGATGGTTCAGTGGGCTGCGTATCCAGCCGTAGTTTCCAGTGGATAACATCCTTATTATACGCACACAAGGATGAGAACGAAAGGTGAGGCGGAAGAAAGAAAATATGAGAGCTCAAAGGCGATAGAATAGGCGAAGCCTCCACAGTCAGCTCGCCCTTATGATCTAACAGTATGCGCAAACGCCAAGGTCGAGATTTGTCTGGGAGCTGTGCATTGAGAGACTCAGCAAATTTCTCGGCGAAAGCAGTCTGTTGCATTCGTGAAATAGCAGCCTCCCATTGGAAGTCAGACACAGCATCCAGGAGTCGCCCATGGTGGTATGTAAGGAGGTAGAAGGGCGCAAAAGGTAGCTCTAGTTGGGGGACCGGGTTGTGTATCTCATTCAAAAGCTCTGGATCGTAGCGTAGGGTGGATATAACGCGGAAATCAGAGTTGATATCAGCCATGATGTTGTCCCTTGCCCCTCTGGCAGCCTCACGGGCGCTTATAGGTATCTATTCGCAATTTGGAGGCCAAAGCTCAGATCACGCCGCCGATGTCAATCATTTTCCCTGGCCACAGATGCCCTTTATGATCGTAGGCTGTAGCAAATGCCTCGGCGATGCAGTTGGTTATGGTATATGTCGGTGGTTGTTGTTGATACTGATAGAAGTTGAAGTTGAGCTACTTCTATACGAGATTACATAAGCAACCCAGAAATTTTCTACTGCCCAGAGAGCTTGCACGATGTTTTCTCTCGCAAGCACTTCAACTTCGCTTCTTCTCAAGTCCCATACCGATAGATCTTACGCAGCCCTTTTCCGCATTTCTAATTCATTTCACATCGGAGGGCTTCCTTAATCCTTTTTTTAATTCCTGTTCTTTCCCTGTCTCCATCTCCAAAATTCACGGGGGGGTTGCTCCAAACCAGTTCATCTTCCACAACTTTATTATACAAAGAACTACCAGCTCACGCTTCTGGCCAGTTTCGTTACCAGCGGTTCATTGAGGCGTCCTGATCGAGTGAATAGCGCTTGTTTTATAGATTTGACACTGGTGCTGGTCGCTGTTTACCCAGTGAATTAGAACGACTTCATCGCAGCCATGGCACCCATCGAACCCGTCGTCCCATCGCTGCCATCATCCACTATCCAGCAGCACATCGAGAATACCGCTGCTTCATCGTCACCTTCGGTTTGGGATCGTATTTCATCATGGGCCTCAGAAAACAAGGCTCTAGTCTACACAATTGCTGGTGTTGCGGTTGTCGTGACAAGCGCTGGTGTGGTATACTATTTGTCTGACACCGGTAGACCAACCCAGGTTTCTGGTCCATCGGGAGAGAAGCGCAAGAGCAAAAAAGAACGGCGAAAGGAAAAGAAGGCGGAGCAGGAAAAGAAAGCCGCCACGTCGGAGAAATCTGGTATGGCGGATTAATCGGTCGCCCATTGCCATTGAATTTGTTAACCTGAGAAATATATAGAAACAAAAGCGGCAACAGAGCAGGCACCAGAAGAACTCCCAGACGTTGATGAGTCTAACGTGGACAGCCTACCTGCTCAGGTACGTTTGAAACAATGGCGAACTCTATAACCTAGATTGCTAAAGCCTTCATCTTAAATACAGACGAGAGAACGCTATGCTGGAATCCTTAAAGCTGCCGGAAACAAAGCGTTTGGTTCAAAGGACTACAACCGAGCAATCGAGCTCTATGGGAAAGCAATTCTCTGCAAACCTGATCCTGTCTACTACTCTAATCGCGCCGCCTGTTATAACGCCCTCGGTGAATGGGAGAAGGTGGTAGAGGATACTACCGCGGCCTTGGCCATGGATGATGAGTATATCAAGGCAATGAACAGACGGGCAAACGCATATGATAAGCTAGGAAAATACAGCGAGGCCCTACTTGATTACACTGCTAGCTGTATCCTTGATGGATTTGCCAGTGACACTGGCAAAGCTGCGGTCGAGAGGTTGCTGAAACAAGTAGCCGAAGAGAAGGGCCGCGCTATCCTCGAAGGAAAGGGCAAGAAGTTGCCTAGTGCTACTTTCGTCTCAAACTACCTCCAGAGCTTCCGACCCAAGCCGGTTCCAGAAGAGCTTGACGAATCTGTTGAGTTGAAAGAAGACAGTGGCCTAGGGCAGCTCCGAAAGGGGTTATTGGCGGTTGCCAAGTCAACTGGAGATGGATACGACGAGGCCGCACGAGCGTTTGAAAAGGCCTTGGAGCTAGGTGAACTCGGCAAGCTTGAAGCTTTGGCCCTCAATATGCGCGCCACCTTCACCTACCTAGCTGGAGAAGCAGCCGCAGCACTTACTGACTTAAACAAGAGCATTGAGCTTGACCCATCGCTTGTGCAGAGTTACATCAAACGTGCCAGCTTATACCTCGAGATGGGTATGTCTGACCGCATTTTATGAATATCGTGCCAAATACTGACGCTTGAATTCCGCTTGATAGGCAACAGGGAATCAGCACAGGACGATTTCGACCTGGCTGTGACCCAGAACAAGGATGATCCCGATATTTATTACCATCGGGCACAACTTCATTTCATCCTTGGCGAGCTTGGAGAGGCTGCCAAGGATTACCAAAAATCAATTGACCTTGACCGGGACTTCATTTACTCACATATCCAATTGGGGGTTACTCAGTACAAGCTGGGTTCTGTTGCATCAGCGATGGCTACTTTCAAGCGGACCCTCAAAAACTTCGAGAACGTGGCTGAGGTTTACAATTACTATGGCGAGCTTCTGCTTGATATGCAGAAATTCTCCGAAGCCATTGAGAAATTTGACCGTGCCGTTGAACTAGAGAAATCTAACAAACCCTGGAGCATCAACGTTCTGCCCCTAATTAACAAGGCTCTTGCTATTTTCCAGTGGAAGCAGGATTTCCAAGAAGCCGAAAACCTCTGCCAGAAGGCTCTTATCAGTAAGGCTCACACGATGCTCCTTTTCGATTTTCTTTGGCACCTGCTAACCGAGTCTTTCTAGTTGACCCTGATTGCGATATTGCGATTGCTACCCTAGCTCAACTTCTTCTCCAGCAAGGAAAGGTTTCTCAAGCCTTGAAGTATTTCGAACGCGCTGCCGAATTAGCACGAACAGAGGCAGAGGTGATAAACGCTGTCTCATACGCCGAAGCCACTCGCGCCCAGCTCGAGGTGCAGGAGAAGTACCCTAAGCTTGCTGCCAGGCTAGCACAGATGGGCGGTGCAGCTGGACTCGGTGCTCCTGGTGGTTTCTAAACTCGAACCCAACAACCAACCAACAATACTGCCCCCATAAAAAGGGAGAGAGAGAGATGAGTGGCTGATGAGGGATTATATCCACCTGGCTGACTTCCTGGAACCACGTACGCTTTCTTATCCTGCTTCTGTTTTACTACACCTTTTGTCCCCATTGTCTTCCTGTACTGTAAATAAGTAGTGGCCACTTGCTTCCCTTTTCCCCCCTCCCCCCCATTTTTGCGGCTACAGTTGACGAAGGTGGGCGCTTTGCCGTTCGATGTTCTTTTCCTGCGCGTAATGTATACTATCATGGTCTCATATTATCTTGGTTTTTCTAGTTTGTCTCGATATCGCGATCCAACGACCACTGATTATGAAGCGAACCAGCGGCTGGCGACTTAAAGTTTAGCTAGCCGAAGTAGCCTCTCTCGTGTTCTTGGTGGAGAGATACTTGGCGCTTAACAGGCTCGCTCATTGGCTAAGCCCCACCCTTAGCCGGCAGACGCCGTAACTGCCGCTCCCTCCAACGTTTTGCACTTCGAAGCCTGGCTTTTCCTCTTCTTGCTCTTCTTCCTGCAGTTACAAGGCCTCCTCGCAGTCCATAATACTATCATCTACACGCCTGTTCTCTCCTCTATATAGGGCTGGGTAACTAACCCCGATCGAGTATCTCACTCGTTACTTTTACTACACCTTACTAAACCCACGCCTGTTACGTCACCGGCCCGGTGTGCGTTGTATCCGCTGCACCCCGCAGCAGCCACAACAATATTCTCACTATACCACAAGAATAAGAGGGAAGAAGGAATCGCTCACTACGGTCAACTCCAAAGTGATTTCCAACGGCTCCTATCCGCATCGTGTGCCTATGGCTACAGGTATATTAATCCCCGAGTCGTCCTCGCCCTATCACTCGAGGGATGGCAACATGCTAGAGCTTGTACAAGTCAGGAGCTAACGTGAAAATCCTCTTCCGTAGTTACCCTACACGCCGTTACCCTCGATGGAGGTGACGATATAGGGGAGCGGGATGTCTATTTCTCGTCTACTATGTATCGTTGCATCATCGGCCGCTCATCGCAGTCCGGGAAGAGTCTGTTAAAGGCTAGCAAGGATAATCTTCGATTCGACAATCGTGTTGTCTCTCGCAACCATGCTGAACTATTTGTGGATGTTATAAAGAAGGTGACTCATCCTAGCTACCATCAAATATCCTCCTCCATTCTGACTGTGATACTTCATAGGAAATCCATATCAAAGATCTCTACTCTTTACACGGAACGTTGCTAAATGACATCAAGTTGACTTCAGGACTGAAGCTAGTCTCAAGTGGGGACACAGTTGTCCTGGGAGCCACCGTCAATAGAGGAGAAGGTACGCATGGACTTCCAATTGGAATCCTATAGGGTTTTAAAACTAACTTGCGTGACGCCGTAGACTCATATAAACCAGTCAAAATTCGTATTAGCTATACATGGAACGACCCTTCTGAGGCCATACCCTCCTGTGAATTACCAGCCACAAACACATATACTGTTCCAGATGACGAGGAAGGTAGTGAGGCTCAAAGTGAGAACGGGGGTAGTCATATTCTTGATGCAGAACATGACCCATCCTTCCAGTGCCAAACGACGCCATTACAGCCAAAGTCAGGTGCGGATATCATATCCATCAAGTCATCTCCAGACCCGGCCGAGCGCGAGACAGATATCTCCTCCACGCGCGCCTGTCGCGATAGCGCCACAGGCCCTTGGTATTCACGTGCCCCCTATCCTGGCGGAGAAAGGCCAGTCGGCCCGTGGCCTTACATTCACTCTCATTCAACAGGCCGCCCTACAGTCGACAAAATCCCGGATATAAATGATCAGTGCCATGTTCCGTTCTTAGGGAAACAGCCCCTTACATTCCCCGAGATACACAACCAGTTTCGACGTCAACTCCCGCCTCTGAATACATATGCACTTCCATTGGAGCTGGCTCCCGCCCGGGTTCATCCATCTCGTAACTCTCTAACGAAGGAGAATCTAGATAAACTTGCTGAGAAAGCAACCACAAAACAAGTTGGTCCCATTCCATCATCACCAACTAGCTCCCACGCTTGCGGTACCAAGCGTAAGTTTGATGATTTATGTGCTGCTGAGGCCATAGATGGCGAAATTCTCCCTGATGCCCAACCTCAAAAAAACCTCCCAGGCAATGATACAACCGAGGAAATTGAGTATAATCCTCCACAGAAGCGAGCGAAATCTTCCAATGCCGAACAGCCTTCTCGTCTTGGGGTTTTTGCCCGCTATGCTGCTACAGCTATCACTGGGGCCGTTTTAGGTGGAGTCGGGACTGTTGTCGCTCTTGCTTCCCTACCACCAGGCTATTTTGATTAAAAAGAAGCAAGACAAACAGGTCCCTATATCCACCTTCCGAGCTGCTGCATTTTACTTTACTACCTTCTTTCTTTTTCACCCCTGGTCCATTGGTCTTCTATTCATGGTTCCCTTTTTTTATTTTTATTTTTATCTTTATTTTAGTTTACCGGGGTTTACAATCCAGACCACCTTCGTTCCTCTCACGCCTATGCATAGTTGACGGCAGATAGCAGGGTAATGGCATTGAGCTGGGACCCGGAGTTCGCAATGGACATGGGACAGGGATTATAATTTAGTATTACGACCTTTTTCTTAACAATAGGTACGTGTCTCGAAGGAGGCTCTTAATTCATCTGAAAGTACCATGGGTATTTGTTTACGGGGGTGATTTGAAGTTCAGGAAGATGGGGCGGTTTTCTATGATTTTATCTCCGTTCTTTGCTTGGGGTATTTAATGTGTCGCTTACACTGACTAGTTACTATGTAGTCAACTATCTTGCTGGCTTAATTAAATAGCTAGTTTGTTAGTTAGCTACGTATTCCGAACCAACACGTTCTTTTATTGAGTATTGCCTATATTTACTCCCTATATTGCCCTTCTCTATCTCTGTCTTGATTAAATGCTGGAGCATATCTATTAAAAGTAACTGATGGCTTATCGAGATGTGACATTTACGCTGGGATTAACTATTCGACAGGTCTTCGGGGTACAACCCTCGAAGGATCAGGTTATACAAGACACGAAGGGGTTGGAATTTGACTGGCTAAAGTTGATTTCAGATCATCTCAGAGTTACTTAGGTTAACTAACCAGTTACCGTGGCACAAGCGGGTAGCTGCATTGTTATTTCTGAATGGTTCAATCACTCGGTCCCGAATCCTAGCCCGACCTGATGCTGACCGTCTCTTCCATATTATTTCTACCGAACCTGATGCAACCCAAAATAGGACACCTTTCCTGTCAGCTACTTGTGATCTTCAACACTAGAAGGCTGTTCGTGCAGCTCGGCTCGAACTCAATGATCGATCAGGCTGTGCCTCGTTGAGTCGAGTAACCAGTTTTATCCTCCAGTGCGTCGATACTCGATCTCCCTCTCTTTGGCTCCGTCGGTTTTCAGGCATATCTTTCCGCTTTGATACGCATAGTATGAAATGGACATGGTTTTCTATCCAAACTGACATTGGATTTGCTTTACCCGAGTTTACAGAGCACCCGCTTAGGAATGTCGACCTGACTGCTTTATCTTGCACTCGGCATTTGTTTTAATAGGTATAACCAATCTCTCGACAGTTAACTAAATAAGGAAGAAGGGTAACTAAAAAGAAAAAAAGAAAGAAGAAAAAGAAAAGAAGAACAAAGAAAATATGACAGAAAAGAGGAGAATTATGTGAAGCGAATTCCAGCAGTGCCGCCCTTTGACGTCAATGAGATCCGATGGCGATTCGCCCCCCGTTATCAAGCATCCGGTCACTGAAAGAACTAACTAGGCTTCTCACAGTTGTCTCTCTTTACTCAGAACTGGCTGGCAGGTAATCAATAATGCTTCATGCAACAATCTGCTTTAGGCAGGCCAGTGTCACTTGTGCAACAATCGCTTCCTCCTTTGCTCCCAGCTTTTCTTTGCCTATGAGGAGCTCCCATTCATTATTGCTGGACTACGTTCATCCCTTGCCCAGGGACATTCTCTTTTTCCTTTCTTCTTTTGGGCTGAGGCCGACTATACCCAAGATCTGCTCTGTTTCTTGTTACCCGAAACTTACCCGGAGAGTATGCCTAGGGGCAACAAGTGTCTGATTTGCTTGACTGGCAGAACCCCCAGTGCTCTTTGCATCTGGACCTTAAATATCACTGGCTGGTCTCTCTCTCTCTCCCAGCCTGAATCTGGAGTACACTCCACCGTATCCGGCTCTAATGCTTTACCTTGTTGGTGCCTGGTGATGCATGACAAGGCCCGACCAAACAATATGCACATCTGTCCCTGAGATTCCTCGGCTATTTTGACACTTGTCCCACTCTGAGGATATCCAGCACCAGATATTCTGGCGCCTAGGTATCCTATCACCAAGCTCTTGAATTATCTCGATTACAAAACGTCCCTGACATGGGATTTGGACCTTGTTCTTGGGTCTCCATGTTGAACACTGAACTGGCAGATTGCACAGTGGTGTAATTCCCGCTTACCTCCGTGTGTACATGGGTAGTGCTGTACGTTATACCAATACCTCAACGAAAGAATAAACTGGGACAGACTGGGGCGTGCTGTAGAAATGAAAATGCCAAATACTCGATGCTACCCTAGGGCGTAGCGGTGTGGAGGTACTCCGTAATGGCCCATCAAAGGTCATTATGTTACACGATGATTAACAGGAACCTCTAGTGGCTTGTAAGCCCGCTGGAATCCTCGTCATTTGACACTCAATCCAATTATTCGGTTCGTACTCGGCATTATCAACATGGTCTCTCCGAGCACTGGATACCCTTTTTCTAACCTGATTTGCTCTTTGAAATATGCATGCAACCTTTTTTTTTTGCCCTCGAATGCCTTGTGAGCCAGGCGCGTATCAGCTATGGCTTGCTCTAGCAGGATGAATCGCAGGACGTGGAAGTCTAGCATCCCATGTTGCAGGTCCATATGCAATTATAACTTAGTCATGCAAATCATAGACTATGAATGGAGGTAAACAGATTTACATAATCCTTTTAGCGAACGTTTACCTACTGAAAGCATTGCTTATATCTTTTATGCTGATGTCTGCTATGACACGTTTTGAATCCTTATTTCATGCGATATCCATTACTCCACACAAACCACCGGGTTGTGCACATGTTATCGGTAGGTCGAGGAAACCTGGGAAGTGCACGTCAAGTGCAGATTGTGCTCAATTAAGCCCATCTTGGTGTCACCCGAGCATACGTTCGATGCTATCTTGCCTGCATCAACAACTGCTCACGAGCTAACCGGAGCCAAGTGACGTAGGGGCAGCAAGGCTTAAGCTACGGTAATTGAAACCCGCTATGCCTGAACCAATCTAACTTATACGCTTATTCTCCTTGCCTTTAACCGATTGTCACCCTAGAGAAGCGTTACCGTTGTACGGCAATTGAGAGCTTATCCTGTGATTCTCAGTTGCCGCACCTGCACAAAGCTATGTATGGTAGGTTACCCGGACCAAGTGCTCGAGGGCCCGTCAGGGGAATCAATAGCCGCACCATTTGTTAGCCTGCGGTTTTCTACTTAAATACCTATCCGGCCTTTGTTGGAGAGAGTCTGTAGAAGGTGATATTTACTCCTGCCACCTCCATACCCTTGGCAATCTTGTGCAAGAAGCCTAGTTTATCTCTTGGATTTTAGATATCCTATGTAAATACGCATACCTTATCTTTACTTTTGCGGTCTGAATTCGCAGCTACGTCCAGCCTCGAGAGACTGCTGTCACTATTCTGATGCCTGCCATCGCGATTCCCAGGCGAGTTACCAATTCCGATACCATGACACAACCAAATAATGACGACTACCGCACAACCATTTATTTAGACCCACAACACATCTTCTGCAATAATGGCAGAACGTTTCTTACCTGCAGATCTTGTGCAGGAAATCCACCCAGGTAAGGACGCTTCAACCTCTTTAATCATTAATGCTACCTTCACTTGCGGCACCCGCATTCTCTATAATTTGACTCAGGGGCTAATGAGTTTGCTTAGAGAACACAACTGCGAGGACTGCAGAGGTAACGGCTTCAATACGTACATATGTGGCCACTGTCAGAATGCATCTATATCCGATGGAGCGAGAATAGGACTGTTCACTACTGGTCCGTTGGCTACAGGATCTCCAAACCTCAAGTCCTCACGATCTTCCTCTCCTGAAAGCTCCGTCAGCTCCCTTGATCGCCTCCCTCAGTCGAGGAACCTCGATCCGCCTCAGCATGGCCACCGGAGATGAGCCAGAAGTACTCCGTAGAAGAGTAAACAAAAGATAACGGCTTCTGGTCACAATAGCGTCGACGACTAGCCTACGCCGTGCAGGTTTTGGCGGTTGGTTGGCTCTTTTCCTGAATTTCTGGTTTCTACAGGATGAGAAAATGGCTGGTAGTTACAGCAAGAGACCTGTTTTAGGCGGCCGGTCATTTTTCTCTGCTCATGGTTGACAATAATTCCCATATGATGCTACCGCATACCAGACACTCATCCGCCATCTACTGGCGTTGGTGGCTGCCATCAGGCTACTTGTTCCTCTTGCTGTTTCTCGAGATCCGACCTTCAAGCGCAATCAGCCCTCGTGGCGTAATGGTTAACGTTTCAGACTTCTAAGCCACGTGATCCCTCAAGGATGGCGTCCTCTGATATCTGACTATCCCGGTTCGAGTCCGGGCGGGGGTGCTTTTTCATTTCTTTTTTTTTTTTTTCTTCTTGTTTGTTACCTAGAAATCTTTGCTCTACAGCAACTACCTGCCTTACGATAAAAGAAAAAGGGGTAATTGGCGTGGATGACCTGCAAACTCGGCTGATAGAACTATATTTACTATTATCGTTAAGGCTGTGTGAGCTTATTGATTTCCACCCTATCACTTCATCAACTCTCGTGTCCGAGTTTCCCAAGAGCTTCTGTCAAAAAGTCATCCGCATTCAACAATTCGGTACTGCCATACACCACTCTTCTGCCCAAACCAAGGGCAGAAGAATGGGCCGTGCCACCAGCACCAGCGTTCATTCCGCTTCCTCCGACAGAGATTCCCGCACCGGCTTGTCCGCCACCGGTCCGATGTACCCAGTCCTGCAAATTACCATACTCGTCCATGCTGCCACCGCCGACAGTGAAAACGATACCTTCGTTGAACGCCTGACGTCTTTGGCCAAACGTGGCATTTGTTCCGCTTGTTGCAGATCCACCAGACTGGGCGTTGCGAGTGGATGCAATTGATGGAGGCATGGCGCCACGGGCATTGGCGCTCCGTGGGTCAAAGTATAGGTAATTCTCTGTGAGTGCAATGGTTGAGCTGGATGCCGCTGATGGGTCCATGATCGATTCGGTAATCTTCGTAATGGTAAGATCTTTGTTGGCTGGAAGAAAGTTCTTGACGCCTGAAATAAGGGAGTCAAAGTTCGCGCCTAAGGCGCCAGCTGTAATGCGGTCCGTCAGCCGGTTGGAGAGAGAGGAAAAGCCACGGAAAAGGTCAGAGGAGGGCTGCTGGGGTGCGGTCGATGTCGACGTTGACATCATGGTCATTCTAGTGATTTCTCGTACGCGTTTCACGTACGCTATGGGGCTGATATCAGTGCAACCTGCCTGCTTCAACGCTTCTTCAAAACGGTTAAGTTCAGCACGAGACAGATCTGACTCTGTGCTCAAGAACCAGATGATAAATAACCTTAATTTATCGACTGGGTTATTTCCACGCTCAGTATCTGATATTATCTCTAGCATCTGCGTTTTGTTTTGCTTGTTGATGTTTTCTTCAAGCTGAAAGAAGTTGTCGAGTTGGCGGTCTTTGATCCCTTTGAGCAAGGCGGTGGCGATATTCATATGCATATCAAGGAGTGCTTTCCGCTCACGTAGTTCAGGTAGAAGTGTAATGGCAGTCTTCAGGTGCTGGGCAGATGCACCCGCATCAATATTGAGGTCCTCAATGGACGATGCCCCCGTCTTCTTCGTGATCTCGTTTGCATCGTCTTTATATCGAGTCAATTCTGCATCAATATCTTCCGCAACCTGTGGGAAGGGTACCCCTGCATTTCGGTTCCAGAAGAAGTCATTCACATTCAAATCATAAGACTTAGTCGTCATCCCTTTGCTTAGATCAGACTCGTCGATAGGCGACTGTACTGTTATACGGTTCAGATGCATCTTCAAAACATCGTGAATGAGCGACTGGTACGTCCACGAATGAGAAAGCATTGGGACAAGGTCAACATTTCGATCAACTATTATCAGAACAGGCCTGCTAGAGGGTAATGCAGTACCCTGTCGTTGAGAGCCACCAGAAAATAAGTTGTCTTTCGAATTTAATATATGATCTCGAAGCTTGCGATCAAGTTTTGCGGCTATAAGCTCAGCGGCACCACCCTTTGGGCATCTGATAATGGGTATCGATCCTGGATAGTAGAACGTTAGTAACAGCTTCTGCCGCATCTTGAGTTAGACATAAACCTACCCATTGTGACACTGACACTAAACAGACCGCTAACGATTCTGTCCACAACGACATCCAGCTCTTCATCCTTGGTTGTTGCGCTGTTGATTTTCCAGTATGTATCCTTCCCCATGCCTAAGCTGAATAGCTCCGGTTCTGCAACGGTAAAATTTAAATACTGATCATAAATCTGGGCTACCTTGTCTGCTGTTCCAGTAGCGGCAATTTCTGCAGCAAAGTCTTCGAGAATAGGTCGGGGAACGGAGGAGAGGAAGTTCACGTATGCGGGGGAGTAGAGGCCCTTAGATAGGTCGGAGGTGATCATTTTGATGTTTTCAATAGTTGGCTCAACCAAGTATATAACCGGCACATCTGGAATAGGGTAGCGCCGTGAGTTTAGATTACTATTTGGTGGTCAGCCATGGCCACCAAGTGGAATATGGGGGCAACAAGCACGTACAGATGGATTGTAACTCCCCAGCTTCGAAGATCATTAACTCGAAGAACACTGCTAATGACATCGCGCCCGAGATTATCAAAGACAAGTATCTTCCACACTGGGTCGCCATCCTCATTCAGTAGGGGGGCAGCTCGAGGTATGAGACCGTTTTTGCCTGCTGCCGAGTCCCCCTGAAGCTCGTTTTGAGGAGGAATTTCATGGTTCAAATTTAAAATGTGTTCAATTGAAGCTAATGGAGTATGTCAGAATCATATCCTAGATGGTACAATAGAACACAAACGTACCGATCTGCCGCTGCCGGAGGGAGAGAGGGCTAGATGCCATCGTAGCATCTAGTTTGTTTGGTGACGCAGAAACAAATCTTACTTGACTAGGGCTTTGTCCATGCAAGTTTAGTCAAGCCAGTATACTGTACCTATCAACCAGTTCTGCGCCGTCGCTGCGCCCGTAATATATAACCCGTGAATGGTTCCAGTGATGTGATGCTATCGCGGCTCTACTCTTGCTTCTTAACAAGGTGGTGAAGCTCACACACACATGGCTGACGTAAGAGACACACACGTGATACTGGATAAACGACGGCCCGCGAGGGCATCAGGTGATCGGGAGATCACATAAGCAACGAAACGCCTAAGAGAAGGCCAAAACCCTGAACGTCGCCCTTTTTTCTCAACCTCAACTCCAACCTCCTCTGCATCGCCAACTACCTCTAACTTATCCAGAGGTCGGTTCGTTCAGCGCTGCCTTCCTTGGTGGCCTCTTCTTGTACATTGCTTGTCTTGTTCTTCGTGTCAGCGCATACCTCGCCACCGTAAAGAGCAGCGCTATGCCACCAGCCTCACAGTAATATCATACGATCTCCTCGCACCCGTCCGCCACGCGCCGGCAACTACGACCAGGTTTATTCTACTGCTGAAAAATAGTTGTCTGTGAAGGATACTCCGTACTACTCAACTGGTGCTAAAAAACAAAGTTAACAGAGCAGGCTATTGGTTTGGAGAGACGGGGTTACTGAGAGGAGGCAACTGTTTTATTGCTGCATTTACGACCAGCAACCTAAGATCTTGTACTCTTTTTCTTCTTCTTCTTCTTCTTCCTTGTCAGTTTTCATTCTCTCGTTTTGCCTCTGACCATTTTGGAGTTGGGTATATTAAAAATTACGGCAAAAAAGGGGGGATTCTCTTTTGTTTTTGAGGGCCAAAGACAGCCCAGGGTCACTATAAAGGCGACACACCCCGAGCATCACCACACGGCAACAAGAAGGCTCCCGGGGGAAAGGAAAGGGCTCATGCCCAGTGGCTCAGCCTTGTTTCTCTACGCTCAGCCTGGCTAATGGTTCCAGAGCATTGCGCGCACACAACCGCTTCCCCAGCCTTTTTATACACAACGCTGCGTTAAGAAAAGAGCCGCTCCCCTTCAGTACAGGCAAAAGCGGCGACAGAAAGCTTACGTGATCCTGGCACGACGCCACTTATGCTAGCCAAATCGGGCAAGCTCTAGCTTTGTCAGCATTAAAGCAGCCACAACTTTATACCGCGCAACCATAGCACGTGACCTGTACCTGCCGGCAACCTTTTTCTTACTTTTATTTACTTTTCGCCGCCGATAGTTCGGTCTCGATATCGAGCTGCGGCCTTTTTGATATCTAAACGACGATGGACTCGACCACGGATCCCAATCCGCCGCCGCCGTCGGATCCGGGTGTAGGCCATTTTCATGGCGAGTTTTGGGGTGGGATAAGCACTCTATACGGGACTGGCCAGACAAACGACCAGCCGTTCGGCATAGGGTGGGATCATCCTGTGTTCCGCCCAAGCCCACATTCACCTTCTCCTCAGACAAACCAGAACATCTATTCGCTCTCCCAGCAGCCGCAATCTCAACAGCAGCACCAGCAGCCGCCACCGCAACAACACCAACAACAACCTCAAGCACAGCAGCAGCCGCAACAGGTGCAGTCATGGCAGCAAACATCAATACAACACCAGCCTATAGCACTTGACTCGCAGCAACAGTTCTCTATGCCTAGCCCATATCGGGTGTCGCCGTACCATACACAACAAACTCCTACTTTCGATGCCGCGCAGGCAGCCTCCTCATATCACACTTACACATACGACCCGCAAACCTTCTATACAACCCAGTCGCAAATCCAGCAACAGAGCGCGTATGATCAACACCCTGCGAGCGTACCGGCACAGCGAGTGGCTCAACCTTCTCCTGTTGCGACGAACACCCTTGATCGACAACAGCAGTCCTCGTATTTGGTACCAAGCACTCTACAGCTGGGACTTCAGGTATACTCCTCGATTTCCCCTATCTTCATAAGCAATATCTAACCAATCGATAACTTTTTTACAGCATGGGGGACCAGCAAGTTTTCCGGGCGACTTCACCAATCAACATTCACATTCCCCGTATCACAATACCATCGATCCTCACTTCCTTTCGACACCCGACCAACAACCGCAATCCCAACAGCAACCGCAGCAGCTTTATGCTATCAATCCTGCCGAGCTAGAACGGCCGACAAGCCTCAAGTCAGTCCACCTGTCCTCGACTATAAAACTAGACTTATTCTAACCTTGAATTTAGAACTAGTGATTTACAAATAACAAATGGGCTTCAAACTGTGATTTCTCAGACTTCGACAGGACCCGTTGGCCCTGCTCCCGTTGTCTATTCCAATGGTAAAATGAGTCATTACCTTTCATTTAATGTCCGCTTCGTATTAACCCCCTTTCCTAGGCGTCCAAACCATTCTTCCGAAACCCCCCACTGCTGCCAAACCTCGAAAAAAGAAAGCAGTAGAGCAAAAAGCACAAACACTCTTAAACAAATTCATTACTAAACCAGCCGTGCAGCAACCAGCTAATCAAACTCAGAGCGAATCGTCAAGCGATTACAGCAGTGACGAATCAGACGACGACCTCGAGGTAGAAGAACCACCAGCTGAGCCTTCCCCCATCCCCGCGGTACGACCAGATGATGTTGAAGGTAGGACTGGGTATGACACTATTAAAGTGGTTTGGGCTCCACGCAATCGACACGCAAAAGCGGCCGATATAAGGAATGCTATGATCCTGTTTTCAGACCTTGTTAAGGGGGTGCGAGATACATGGAAAGCTCGTAGCGAGGCCCTCAAAGCTGCGGAAAACCAGAACCTTGAAGGAAAAATCCCGTCTCTCAAAAAGGAGGTGGTTCTTCAGAGGCGACTGCTAGACTTGATCATTAACAATACCCTGGAGTTTGGTCACCCATCATATATTAGAAGGTACGTCTTGGACTTTCTCTCTCATCTAGCTTCCCCTATATTCCCCTGTAGAAGCTTGAGTCGACAAATAGCATTTTTATGTAGCCATGTTAAGAGGCACCTGGGAGATCCTGCACCATATATGCCTTGTTTCATCAAGAGCTAGAAGCAATGATTACCTCAAATAAATGGGAGGGAATCTCATTTGCTGCATACGACAATTGCCTACATGGCAGTTTGGTCAAAATGCCCTAGCCTTTTGAAATAGACATAGGCCTTCAAAGCCCATGTGCGTCTCCCGGGGACCACATCTGCTGCTGACAATGCTATCATATGATAAACTCCCTACTTTTCGCCCCCTTCCTGCTGAAGCCCGCTGCTACTCTGGCTTCTTACAACATGGGGAAATTTTAATCAATACTTAATATAGCATGCTCTTGAATACTTATTTATAATACATAGATTCGGCGAACATCCTAGTATTGTTGCGGCATTCTACTCCTTCCTACTGGACCGTCACACAGCGGCAGATAGTGATGGCCCGCTAACGATCAATATATTAAAGGTATATATGATCCACGTTAAAAAAAAACTAAAACAGTTCAACCAAGCTAACGATGGTAATAGTTAATGGGCAAATTTACGACAATGGACCTTGCAATGCTAGAAAAGACTAAAAATGACAAGATACTTTCTCGGTTTATCAAAAAGGGAGGGAGCACAATCAAGGAGTTAGCTCAATCCATTATGGAGAATGCTACTGCTGCTACCAAGAAGAAAGCTGAAGCTGCCAAATCTTCGGCCAAGGACAGTAGTGCACCGGGGTCAACGACGTCCCAAGCTACAAAGCAGCGAGAAGCTACAAATAGCTCATCTCAGCCTATTGTCGGTATAAAGCGTGCCCGGGAAGACGACAGCAGCACAGCATTGACAAAGCGGGTGGTATCTCCATCATTTGTAAAGGGCACCACTCGAGTCGTGTCTGGAGCCGCCTCGGCCGCAGCGAAGAAAATGCCTGCCCCTGGAAAGGATGGCAAATCAACCCCTAACGGCACTTCCCAGGCTTCTACAAAGCCCAAAGCAAATATAGTCATACCTAAGCCCACGCCGAGTCTTTTCAGCAGCTTGATGTCAGCGTCAAAGAAACCTGGAACATCAAACGCTGCTCGTGCAGCAGCGGCTGCAGCAGCAAAGGATAAGCCGACGTATGTTAACCCTTATACTTAACCTCAATCGTAACTATCATACCTAACAAGCTTACTAACCTATAGTAGTGTCGTAGCTGAGGCCAAGGCGACTCCTCAGCCAGCTCCACCGCCGGTAGCAAAGCCTGCCTTTTCTTTCTCTGAGACTATGGCCAATTTGAATAAGCCTCGGGAACGTAGTCCATCAAAGCAGGAAGAAGATAGTCCGCCCGAGACAGATGAAGAACGCAAGAAGCGGCTTCGGAAAGAGGCACGGAGGAAACTGCGAGTCACCTGGAAGCCAGACAGCAGTCTCACAGAAGTGCGTTTATTCACTCATGACCCTGAGGAAGAGATTGGCTACGATGACAGTATGATGCGTGATGTTGGCGATGTCGCTGGAGAGGGAAGGACTCTTAAGCTTCACCATGGCTTGGATGACCTTGATGACGAGGACGAGGGCTGGAACGAAGAGAGTTTAGCACCATACGCGGTCCCCTCAGCCATCGATTTTAGTGATCTTCTAGAAGAAGACCGGGAGAGGAACTTCATCAAGACCGGCGGTTCAAAGGCTGCGGATAGTCCCGAAAAGACGGCTCAAGATCAGCGAGAAGCCACTACTCTCAGCGTTTTCTATACTTCTCCCTCGGATATTCCAAATACCCCCAAGGAGCCTCCGCCACCGGACAATGACGATGAACCATATAGCCCTCTCGTACCCTTTGGAGAACCAGACCACTTTGTCAAGGCCCGGTCGCAGCGATACTTTGATTCCCGCTCGCCACCCGTCCAGGTAGCACCTCAAGCTACTCCTGGAGCTCAACCAACAAACGCTGCTCCTATTGAGATATCGTCCTTATTAAAGATTCTCCAGCAAAATCAGCAACCTCAACCAGTACAACAACAACAACAACAGCCGACTGTGCCTCCCAATGTTCCTGATTTACAACAAACGCTCGCCCAATTTACAAACAATGCACAATCGCCTCAGTTGCAACAGACTTCCCAGTCAGGGCAGGCCCCTGGTGCACAAGGTCTGGATTTCCAGAAACTGCTGGCAGTTATGAACGCCCAGAAACAGATGCAACAGGCTACGGCTTTTCCCCAAGTTACTACCCCTCCAACTCCCAATCTAGCTGCTATTCTCTCTCAACTTTCGAATCCAGCTAGCCAATTACAACAACAGCAGCCGCAGCCGCAGCAGCAGCAAAATCAGAGTCAAAATAAAGATTCTCAGGCATACAATCAGGCCTTGTACGAGGATGGGGATAACAAGCGCAGCTATGAGGGTGATGACTCATATGACTACAACAAACGTGCAAAGATCAAGAAACATGTAAGTATCATCCCATTCTTCCATGCATGACAAACATAGACTAACTAGTACACAGCCCAAAGCTGGCCTGGTCCCTTGTCGGTACTGGAAGGAAGGAAAGTGTATAAAGGGAGATGAATGCACCTTTAGACATGATCCTCTCGACTGATACAAATCTTTTTCCTCAGTTTTTTTTTTTCGATTCATTCCCAAACAAACATTCTATACGCCCTTTCTTTTGTTCACGGTATTTCAATCGTGAGAGGGCCCGTCTCACTAGCATATTCCATTCCACATTTCCAGAAGGATAACGACAACTAGCTCTTCATTCTCTATTTGTTTTCCCAATGGAGTTTTGGATACTTAAGACATGCCTATACCTAGGTTACTGCCTATTATTTCCCCCGTTTCCTCCCCATGTCCATTGATTTGACTTTGCAAAGCGTTGCTGTTATTCTTTATATCTGTACAATGCGCTCCCATTTACTGCCCATTTGAATTCTATCAATACCCCTGTTTCTTATCTTGAAAATCCACATACACATGTCTAATGTTATTTCCTTTACTGCATCCCATTTAAACTATGGCGTCAGGGTATGGAGTGGAGGCGCTGAAACCATTAGAATAGCAGGTGTTCTGATCGGCGTTTGTACTATTATTACTCTATCATTACTATCATAGATGCTAATCGATCGACATCTTGAACAATCCTGTCTCATGGTAACTAGAGTGAGAAACGTCTCAACTATCAGGCCACAACTCTCTGAATAGGCTGTTGCCCCCTTCATCTCAAGCAGGCGACATGGCCCTTTCTTTCCGCGATGGCCAAGCTGTATGTCGAGGAACGTAGTACAAACAAGAGATAAAATGTCGTATTCGGTCTTGTAGAGGATTTTAATATATTCAAACTGTCAAATCCGTGACATCGCCGCCCCTGTGCTCGCTATATCGAATATCGCTTTTATGCTTGGGGCACAGGCGGCCCACTTAGTAACACATCCTGCAAACTCTGAACAGTCAGCCCATATGGCTTAGTTGGTAAAGCGCGTCACTAGTAATGACGAGATCCACGGTTCGAATCCGTGTGTGGGCATTTCTTTTTACTCTTTCTCTTTTTTTTTTTTTTTTTACTTATTTACTTTTTTCATGAGCTGGATAGACTGGTTGCTGTGTTTCTTTTGATTAATTACACGGTAAGGCCTGGTGTTCGTAGCTTATGACGTGGTGCTTGCCTGGATACATGTCCACGACGACGAAAGTTGGTACATGCAAGATGCTTGTTTCTGATTCAAGAGATGTTATTTACTGTTGACTGTCGGAGCTTGCGTGAGCTGCCATGGTAGTTATAATTACGAAGTATATCGCGATATATAATTAATGTGCTACTCTGCTAGCCTATTCAGCAGGTTAGACGTCAAGATGCATGGTGGGCTGGTCTAAAGTAGGTACAACTTACCTGTAGCTAACCATGGTGTCAACCCGATGGTTGCTCGTGCTGAAACTACGTAACTGCACTTTCTCTCCATTTTCAATCTCTTTGGCGTCGCTGTCGCCCCATTCCAGAGGCACTTCAGAGTCGGCATCCGCGTAGACGAGCACGTTAAACGTACAGTTTCCGTCAAGCATTGGTAGAAAGGTGACTGATGCTGTGATTTGACGGAATATAGCTTGAATCTCGTCCTGTATCTCTTTCTCAGATTTTTCAGCCGGCGCAGAGCTGCCGGCTTGTGCCCTATAACAGCAGGTCAGTGGGTAAACTCCCCAAGCGAAAGCTCTAATATCGTGAGGGGCAAAGGTGAAAATTACCCCGGATTGGCGTTTTCATTATCAGTTGCAGCTTTAGCAGCCTTGTTCTTTGACTGTTTGAATATTTCGACCTTAAGTGGCATCCCTCGTCAGCGTCGTAAACAGGGGTCTAACTTCACAGGGCATCCGGTTGCTCACATCAAACTGCCATCTCTCAACGTGTTCTCCGGTGTCCTTGTCTGTGATGACAATAACCAGCTTGGATATCTTGCCTCCCAGCATCCACTTATTCAGTTGTGACATTATTTTCTTTATATATGCCTTGACCTGGTCATCTGCCGAGACTGTTGCGCACAAACGACGGGATTAGCCCATATAGGGGAAACCGGTGCGAAGAGGAGGGACTTGCGAACCCAGCATGTTGAGGCCATATTTCTTAACTCTAGAGTGTCGTTAGCGAGTCCAGACGAGTATCATGCCAGAAAAGCTAGTCCTACTCACGCTGTAAAGTCGTCTGCCGGGTATACGCCGCGTTGGAAACTGGTGGACAACACCCTATCAGCCACGGAAACGGCATGCGGGGAGAGGTGTAGACACACAGTATAGAGTGAATGGAGTATTCAAACTGCACAGCTCAAGCAAATAGTCAGTAACCGGCAGCAAAAGGGCGTAACAGGACCGAGGCTCACGTACAAATTCCGAGACCAGCTTCGCAGAGCCTGGAGGGTGGAAGAGGCCGTTAGAGCTTTATCCGCAAGCCATCTCGGGTATCTAGCCAATGTTACCTTTCAAAGACAACTTGTGAACTTTCGACTTCTCCTTTTCCGGGGCCATCTTGAAGCAGAACGAGTGTGAGGCGTTGTTCGTGTCGGTTGTTGCGCTGCGCGCTTCCTGAGCGGTTGTTGTTGTTGTTGTTGTTGACGTTGGTTGCTGCCGTCGATCGAGATATTGATTACAACTCCAACTAACAAGCTACAACTACAACAGTTGACCACCACCAGCTGCTGCAGACAAGCCCAGACGGGATCACAGACTAAGAGGATTAGTTACAGAGATCTATCAGTTATATTCGCTGTTGTCGATGTCCAGCTACAAGGTAAGTCAGTTAGCTAGACCATTCTGGTTACAAGTCTCTGCTAACTGCAGCCCCACGGCCCAGCTCAGCACCAGGACAGCCCACGGAGCCGGTCAAAGGCAACATTTCTTCCTCCCTTGCGCTCTATTTCTCCTCTTAACGGCGTCCTTGTAGCTAATCTGAGGGCTATCTAGACCTTTGGATTCTGGAAAACGGCCATCGGCGGCGGAAAATCTAACCTCCAGGCAGTTACAAAAATTGTATGAAGATGGAGCTGGAAAGAAATTGAACATACCGCGAACAAAGACAATTCCTGGAACGCAGATACATCTTCAATGCGGATAGGATTCCGATGCGAGGATGTCTGCAACCGGCCAGATGGCTGACCACAGCCACCTTGCGGCGGCCACCGCTCTCCTGCCAGCGATTTACATTACCCACCCCCAGGTATAAACCATCACCGTTTCCACGCCTGTTCCACCACGCGCCAGTGTTCCAGGCTCGCCAGTCGAATAGACCACTTTCACCTTTGGAGGAACGGATAGATGCCATCCCAATTGAACGATACCGCAATTTCTGCATCGTTGCCCACGTTGACCATGGCAAAAGCACCCTTTCAGACCGACTGCTGGAGTTGACGGGCACTATCAAACCCGGAGAGAACAAACAGGTACTAGACAAGCTAGACGTTGAGCGTGAGAGAGGAATTACGGTCAAGGCGCAGACATGTACGATGCTATACAACTACAAAGGAGAAGACTACCTGCTCCATCTCATCGATACTCCCGGACATGTCGATTTTCGAACGGAGGTCTCGCGTAGTTATGCCAGCTGCGGTGGAGCATTGTTGCTTGTTGATGCAAGTCAGGGAGTCCAGGCCCAGACGGTAGCTAATTTCTACCTTGCCTTCGCCCAGGGGTTGACATTGGTACCGGTAATCAATAAGGTCGACCTCCCGTCCGCCGATCCAGACCGTGCCTTGGAGCAGATGAAAACCTCGTTTGAACTGGACGTGGACAAGGCCGTTAGGGTTTCTGCAAAAACTGGTTTGAATGTGCAGGAACTCTTGCCTACTATAGTCGAGAATATCCCTGCGTAAGTTCTCATCCGTTGGTGTATATTACAGCAAAGAATTTTTGGCTAACGGTGTCTCTGCTAGCCCTGTAGGCGATGCTACGAAGCCCCCTAGGCTGCTCCTGGTTGACTCTTGGTACTCAAGCTATAAAGGAGTGATCATCCTTACCAGGGTGTTCGATGGAGAGGTCAAGGCTGGCGACCAGCTTGTCTCTTTTGCTACTGGCCTCAAATACACTGTTGGCGAGGTTGGAATCATGTACCCAAATCAAACTCCACAGACTGTCCTAAGAGCCGGGCAGGTAGGCTATATCTACTTTAATCCCGGCATGAAGCGAAGCCAGGAGGCCAAGATTGGCGACACGTTCACAAGGGTCGGTTGCGAGACTCAGGTCGAACCACTGCCAGGATTTGAGGAGCCTAAGTCCATGGTGTTCGTTGCAGCTTACCCAGTTGACTCTAACGACTTCCACCACCTCGAAGAGAGTATTAACCAGCTGCTGTTGAATGATAGGAGTGTGACCATGCAAAAGGAATCATCTGAAGCTCTTGGTGCAGGCTTCCGCCTGGGATTCCTCGGAACACTACACTGCTCCGTCTTCGAAGACCGGCTTCGTCAGGAACACGGTGCGAGCATCATCCTTACACCACCAACAGTGCCGTGCAAAGTGATATGGAAAGACGGCAAGGAGACAATCTTCTCAAACCCCAGCCACTTCCCTGATGAGGATACCCTTCGCGTCAAGGTTGCTGAACTACAGGAGCCATATGTCCTGGCAACGATAACATTCCCGGAAGAATATCTTGGTCGTGTCATGGAGCTATGTGAGGCCAACCGTGGTGAACAGGTCAGCATGGAATTCTTCACCGCCACCCAAGTTATCCTCAAGTACCAGCTCCCACTCGCACAACTAGTCGATGACTTCTTCGGTAAACTCAAGGGTTCAACCAAGGGTTACGCCAGCATAGACTACGAGGAGTCTGAGTGGAGGAAAAGCAACGTTGTCAAGCTTCAACTGCTTGTCAACAAGACGCCAGTAGATGCTGTCTCGCGCATCGTCCACTCAAGCCAAGCCAACAGACTGGGTCGTCAGTGGGTGACGAAATTCAAGGAACATGTAGAGCGACAGATGTTCGAAGTCATTATCCAGGCTGCCGTTGGACGTAATGTCCTGGCCAGAGAGACCATCAAACCGTATAGGAAAGATGTCTTAGCAAAGCTCCATGCCAGTGATATCACACGGCGGAAGAAACTACTGGAGAAGCAGAAAGAAGGAAGAAAGCGCCTGAAGGCTGTTGGCAATGTCGTTATTGATCATAAAGCCTTCCAGGCCTTTCTTGCGAAGTAGAAAGAGTGTGTAGTTATTCTATCCGGGGCGGCTATCATGCCTTTTGTAAGATATAGACATGTACTATCTTGATAATGATATTATATATCCCTCTTCACAAGCTTACGCCTGCCGACAAATAGAAGTAGCGATAACTTATAATCTTGAAAAGGTTTTCCTCTCCATATTGTGCTGTAGTGTAAACTATGCTCTGGGTTAAGATAATAGAAGCTTTGCGGGCTCAAGGGGCTTCAATTCTACCAACTCGATTATCACTATTTTTAACCTCTTCTTTTGAACTGTATCCAGAGTTTGTCCTTCTTCAGATCACCGCTTAGAAACCCTCTGTCACCGGGATATTGGCTTTCATCAAATAACGTAGTCCTATAGTTAGTGTAGACAGCCGCCACGGCGTTTCGTATCACTGGGGGGTGGTCAATGACGGGGCCTATCGTATGGCAAATAGGGGGTTATGGGCATCACTTACATTCCACAGCAAGGTGCTGGCCAATACATGTCCTGCTACCACCACTAAAGGCAAGGAGAACTCGTCTTTTCCTCCCCGTAGACTGGTCCTGACAGTCTTTGGTGAGCCAGCGGTAAGGATCCCATACGAGAGGGTCATCAAAATATTCACTGCTACGGTGGATTAAGTGAACATAAGCACCAACCCGGATGCCAGGAGGTAAATTTTTATATGGACCAACGTCTGAAAGGCGGTGTTTAGGTGTGACTCGAGGGTCCATCCCCGGAGGAGTATTCCGTAACCTGAGCCCTTCCTGGATGATTGCGTTTAAAAATGGTAGACGCTGCAGGTCTCTTGCTGGTGGTAGCTCATGTAGGGACGGCTTTTGGTCGAGATCCAAGTGGAACGGACTGGCTATGGAGAGAAGCTCTCGATGAAGTTCATCCTGATGGGCAGGGTGACGAGAAAGCTGGTAGAGCAGGTAGGTCAATACCATGGCTAAAAATATAAGAGGTGAGTATTTGATGTTGGATAAAGGTCTCTTGAATGGTACTTGCGTACCATTGACATCTGCTGTAGGCCCTGCATGCAAAATTTCATCCAATTAGTGTACAAGCAAGAATGGTATGAATGGAACCGGGTGGTATCATACCTATTTGATCGAGGCATTCGCTGGCTAGCTCCCGAAATTGTCCATCACTTGGGGTGAAAGTCTCCTCGACGCCGGCGTCTCGAGCAATGCTACTCCTAAGAGCACTGTAGAGTACAGGGAGGTCTCCTGGCGCCCAAGGCTCACCCAGAGCATAGTGTGATTGCAATCTGTGTTCAGCCAGCCTCACGTTCTGGCTTGTCCAGTCCTCACTATGCTGCCTCAGTTTTGCAAGATCTTTTGGAAGCAAACGTATTTTGAAGACTGTTAATGCCCTGGTGATCCATTTGAATTCACCTAATAAGGCCGGGGCATTGGACATGAAGACGGTGTAATAAAGGGTAAGCCACTTCTCCCTATCCTCTGTATCTTCAAGCAGCCTATGCCCTCCCGGAAGCCCAAATACAAAGGCAGACATGAAGTCGATCGAGTATGAATAGAATAGCGGGAGTATGTTCACGCTCCCGGAACCAGTCTGCGATGCCTGTCCAAGTAATGGAATCAATCGCTCCAACAACACTGCCTTGAAGATGGCCCGTGTATGAGGAGAAGACTGGACGTAAGCCCTGGTCAGCACTGCCGCCATCCGACCTCTGATATGGCTATGTTGTTTGGCCTCCAGCGCAGTAAATAGAGCCCGAGTTCTATAGATAAGTCAGCTTGTTGTCCTTCCTTGGTTGTATCACTGCCGGATTTCGTCTGGGGTGTCTCTACCTAAAGTTCACAAAATAATTATAGACAGATGCTTTGTCAAAGTTTCTCTTCCCATTTCCATAGGCGCTGTCGAACCCTTCTTTGCAGTTGGTGGCGATCTCAGCCGGACCAAGGCGGATATATGGGCCGCATCTTTCAAAGGCTGCTTGTATAATTTCGTAGGAGGTGCCGTGCCATCTGTGCCATTTGATCCAAGCTCCAGTAATAGGAGCAAGGGGATGTGCCGCAGGAACTTTGGACAATGGCGATAGAAACACCGGGTAGATTGTGAATCTGAAGATGGAGAGCAAGATGACCGAAATAACAGCCAGTCGGGGCCATTCAGTAAGTAGTTTTGTAGCACTCGACATGATGCTACCCATTAGAAAGAATTTGAATCGAAAGATATGTCAGTCGTACTCTTGATTTTCTTCACCCTCGCATGAAAGAATGTCATGGCCAGCTATAGGTTCCAGCTCTGAGTAGATCATAAAGGGTGCTGGGGGCTGTCTTTGAATACCCAAGGGCTGGCCATGGAGAGAAACACCGGAGGCCAGGGAAAGTATCAGCTTGATATCCAGGCCCGACGTTTGACAAAGAGTGGACATTGGGTAATCGAACATATGAAATGTCCAAGAAGACACCCTTATCCCTCCCAATATGGGTATAAACGACGTACGACAAGGAGGAAGTAATGCACTGGCCCGTTTGCCATTGCAACAGCTGCAACAGACGTATGATCTGCCAGAGATAAGTAAACCCGTTGAGGGTTCCAGTTCCACCAAATTATGACTGAATAGCGGCCACTCAGCCCCCAGTGCGACTCCGGAATAGAGGGAGATATACAAGTCTCGTCTCATGACAGCGCAGGTGGCCACCAAGTAACGGCCCAGAGTACATCGTGTCTAGAATGCAGGATCTTGAAGAAGACAATTGTAGATTCGGCCTTCCTGGCAGTCATATCGCCAACCGCGAAGAGCAGCGAACTTCTCTCGCCTATGCCGTCTCAAGTCAGCCCTTCTAATCGCTGCTTCCAGAATATTGCTCCTCGCTAAAGTTGTGCAAAATGAAGACCAGGCTTGGGTATCAAGACGCCTCGGAGGCTCGTTCAGCATCTGCAGCCCCCCGGGTACTGCCACAGAGTATCAACGGCAAGGTAGCAAAGGGCAAACCGACCGCCAGTGAGGATAAGACCAGCCGCCTTCCGCAACTGAGAGCTGACTCCATTATTATTTCTTTTTGGCCATGAGCTGGCTCGGACTGGAGATGCAGCGAATAATGGTTAACTAATTAATAGGCCGACTCCCACGACTGTATGGCCTCGTCATGGCTGTTTATGATTGTGTAGTAGTTGGGGCTTTTTAGATATAGCGTCCTGGCTGGTCGTTGTTGGGTTTTAGTTGAAGATGGTTGATACAAAGGCTTGGTTAACTAACCCCTGAGAGTAACTAACTTGGATGATCTGGCTAACCGATGCCCTAACTACCCCTATTTAACTCCTGCAGCCGCGCAAGACGATGAAGGCCTTCTGACCAGCTGGTTACGAGAATCTTGCTATATTGCCACTCCTGCTACTTTTTAGATACAAGAATCAGCACAGCGGGCCACGAGAAGGCTCGCTGCGCTTGAGCACCGCCCATTCTCGTCGCCAACTCCGCCCATGTCTCCCCCATCGCCTCCGTCTCCATGTCCCTGAAGGGACACATGTGGTATACAAACCTGCGAAGCTGGCTGACGTTCCAGTCCTTGCGCCAGAAATTCCTGTCCTCGATCTCGATGACCTTCTCCTTCTCCCCTACGCAGCTCGTCCGCTCCACCTTGAAGTCGCATGCGCCCTGCGTGAAGAAGCCCATGTCCGTCCAGCTCTTGTTCCACTTCCACCGCTCGACGGAGTGCCATTCGGCCTCTGTGAAGGGGATGTTGTCCAGCCAGCTTGCTATCTGATCCGCTACAGGCTTCCACTTGGCTGAGTGCTCTGGCCCGTTGCCCTGGATCTCCCGGTGGTAGTGGTGGTCGATGATCCGGTCCAGCAGGGGCTGGCAGGTCTGCCCATACTCGGGCTCTGAGAAGTGTACCCGGCTGTAGTACCAGATGGCGAGTGTCCCGTTGGGCTTGAGCAGGGACTGGAAGCTCGCCAGGGCCGCATTGCAGTCCATCAGTGGGAACACCAGCGGGCAGGCGACCAGGTCGGCGGACGCAGGCGGGAATTTGGCGCCCAGCTCTTCGCCTGTTGAGACGGAGTACGTGAACTGTGACGGAGACAGGCCTTCTTGTGCTGAGAGGTAGTGCCGGGCATACTCGAGATGGTTCTCGCTGGAGTCGCTCACGACAACATGCGAGAACTTGCGGGCGAGCTGGACTGATACCTGGCCTGGCCCGGCGCCTACGTCGTGGGCGATTGAGAACGAGGCTGGCAATGACCCGGCATGGGCGGCGTGGTACTCATAGATGCGGTTGTAGAACTTATCCCCGTACACTGGGCGTGTGGACAGGTATCCTTCCCAGTACCCCGGGTTGTTCTCCTTCAGCCCCCATACGCTCTCACTGCCATCTCTTGGGTCACCAGTGGCTTTCGTAGAAGAGAATTTGACGCTGTGCTGCGTCCTGATTAGCCGTGGCCTTGGGCAGAGCAAGCTGGGGAAAGGAGGTGAGCAGCGAAGCCTAGCAGCTCTGGCCCCTAGTAGCAACGACATTATATAACTATTCAATGGCTGCCTGCCTTTGGACCGAAGATGGGGGGGATGAACAGAGAGACGGGATGAGAGTCACACTCGGTGAAATCTCAGGACAGACGGCGTTTGCTTATATATAACTACCCTCTGTGCGTCATCAACCTGCATTGTCGTCATCATATGTGTTCCCTGCCAGGATTTCTGACGACCCAGCTTGTTAGGGAGGCTCGCTGTGGCGTGACTCAATGTAGTCTATCAAAGCCCACACCGCTTGGTAGATATTTGGCTGGCTGAAGAACGCCTCCGAAGTGAACAACCAAAAGCCATAGTTATAGAGTGCGGAGTATAGAGAGAGAAGTGAATTGAATGGACTGTCCTACAGTGGTTTTAGGAGAGCATCAGTACTTCGCCTTTTGAGGTGCTGGATACGGAGTACCGCCGGCCACATGCAACTTCATAATGGTGGTCTGTCAGCCAGTGGCCAGCTGTGATACCATTGCAGAGAGATACACAAAATCAAGGGAGAAATAGAACATCCGGCACTCACCTTGCTAGACTGAATAATATCGAGGATCGTGCCCGAATACCGTGTACAGTGTCTCTCATAAACTAACTAGTCGATCACACCGCGCTCTGTTGTATTTGCCCAGCTGCTAGACCAGGAATGCACGCCGTCAAAGTCACGACAGGTCCGTATCATGTTCCAACCGTCCGAATTCCCATTCTTGTCGATTGCTTCGAGGTTGGTGTCTGCCGCACACATGATGGCCTGCCGCAGGTAGTCGGCACAGTGGCCCATATGGCTGGGACTCACCAGCGTTGTCTGGCCGAGAAAGTGGTCCGGAGGACGGCCTTCTTTGGCAGCCTGGTTCCGGTCAAGGAGGATATGGTAGGCCATCCATATCGTGTGCTGGGGGTCTTTTGTCAGCTTGATGCTGCTAACTAGCTATTGATTGAAGGGTCTGGAAAGCCACGAACCAGACAGTGCAGCTCGTGGAAGACGGCTACCAGGGAAGTATAAGGGGCCAGCTCGGGATGATGCACAAAACCGCGTCCCACTGTGCTCGCACATGTTAGAATCGGTCCATTGTAGGGCTAAGGGGCACTCTTACTCGGCATCAGGCTGTTCCATGCTTCCTCTGACTCCTTGGTGGGGATCTGCGTGAATGTGTGGTTGCGATGCCATGGCCCCTGAACTGTGCCTGAGGGGACTGCCAGTAATAGACGAATATCAGCACGGCAACCAGACCAGTATTCGACTGAGAGATAGGTGTATTCCTCACCTAGATATCCGTCCAGGCCGATGTGCCGAGAGGACGGCCAGCTGATCCCAATGAACAAGCCCAGGGTGAGCGCAATGACGGATATCACGGCCGTGTAGACAGCGATCTCCATCACTCGTCTTGCTCCCCAGCGTCTCTGACCCTGGATAAGCTCTGGGTATATATCTTCGGCTTCATCAGAAACGAGTCGCTCATACTCCCTCCCTTTCTTTTTCTCTGCGGTAATCATTTTTGCAGTCGTGTGTTCGTGGAGTTATATTGCATAGCTCAACCCTCACTTCTCGAGAGCACGACCTTGCAGCCCTGCTATATAGAGAGCTTCTCCCCTATTGAGGTCTATATCCGTCGGGCTCCATCAAAGTAGATTTCGCCCGGCCCATGGTTCGCCATGCGAGACGTTGGCCAGTTGCAGAACTGTGGAATCCGCTGGCCGGTGGAAAGCCAGTCAGAATCCCGGAGCTTGTTATTTAGTGAGGCGTTAGCTCCGTGAGCAAAAAGGCTTGATAGACCGTGAAGATAACAAGCCAGCGGCCTACTGGATGCTTGTCCTCGCTTTGTTCTACTGTGGCCTGTCATATATCAATAGCTTGTGGGTGGAAGTCGTATGTTCGTATAAATAGCCGCTTTCGTCTTGGTATCCGTCGAGCAGATAATGAACAAGCCGCCCCAGCTGATGACGACGTCATTTAGTAGTAAGAGCTAATGTTATTCAGATCAAAGAGACGGAAAGCCATCACTAGTTATATGTATATAATATATAGAAGATACTAGATGGTTAAGGGCAAAAAGTTATATATGTCCCTGGAATAGAAGTACTGTCTGGTTACGCTTCAATAGAAGGCCACAGGAAGCAACATGCTTAATACAACTTCCAGCCAGCGTCTATGATATCATCTAGCACCGGGGCCATAGCAATAGACTCATCACCAGAGCAAAACGTGCCGCAAACATCTCCGCCAGAGTCTGCTGTCCGTGACACTTCGGTAACTATAGGGGCACCCCTTATGCCATCAGACAGTCGCCCTCCCACCGGCCCAAATGTGCTGTATAATTTCTCGGCCAGATAGGAAAATTCCCCGGGATACTCTCCCTCTGCGTCCTTCCCACAGATGTTAGAGATACGTAGGCCTTGACAGTGAAGGAAAACAAGGCCAGTAGACACTCCATCGCACGAACACTAGGTGCCGTTGGGGACATTATCTGATCTAACAAAACATTTGGGCGAGGCGGCTTGAAAATACCCGCTGTTAGAGAACCGGAGTGATGAGACCAAGTCAACCATGGCAATGCTTAGACTCGGCCATCGCTCGATAACCGTTCCAATCTTGGACCCATTCGCAGTGTCAGGGTGGTACATGTCTTGACAGTCTTGTGCCTAACTTCCAATGGTGACAGCCAGGCGGCTGGTCGAATGACGCAGCCGTACGCCACAGCTCGTACCAGGTTCAGGCATCGAAGGGGTGGTGGAGGAGTCAGGATGGCCTGCGGCGATGCGAACTCCGGGTTGCAGAACCCCTAGCCCTTCGCGTAGATAGTCCGTCTGATCCTGCAAAGGAGATATCACTGCGGAGAGCTGAGGGTCGATGCGCCGTATTAACCCAAGATTCTCCGGTTCATCCCAGAACCTGTTGGCTGAATGATGATATGTCGTAGTTTTTCCCGCAACGCGGCTGGGCAGCGAGTGTCTCTTGTAGGATCTGCCATCGTTAGTGTGTAACTCGACAAAACAGCAGAGTCCGAACCAGTTTATAGCCTTGACATTACACAGCCTGGCCAGGGACTTGAGTATGAGGTCTGTCTCTCTCATAGTAGGCGCCATCCACCTCTTCAACACAATTGGAGATGGGTCTGGTACCCGGGGTGATGCATAGGCCGTGTTCACATTAAATCCGGTGCAAAGAGGCGCATCTGGGACAAACAACGCTGCAACGCCGGCAATGGTGAGAGTCAGGGGCCTTGGAGGTGTATCAGTAATCACTATAATCAGAGGATACTCGAAGCGTGCCTCCTTTGCGCGATAGTGACGGAGAACCCATAGCTGCTGCTCATGCGTTGGATGTTTGAATTCAGCCATTTCTTCACACCAGAGAGAGAAGTCGGCCACGTCGTTTATGTGCTGAGAGCCGTAGGTGGGCATGAGTGTCTTCCACTGGGGCGAGACTGGCATCGCCGCCCCGTTACGTATTGGCCTAACATGTTCCTCGTTGGTCGTTGGGTATATGGGGATATATCTCATAGTCAACGTACGGCAGCTGCGCGCGCATGGCCGTGATACCGGGAGATGCTCGCGCAGCTGTCATATTGATGCTTTATCAAAACGACTGGGACAAAAGAATAAGGCTTAACTAGATGGCCAGCAGGTTGAAGTTATCTATCTGACAAGCTTCGGTGGACAAGTAGTAATAGATGCTTCTTCTATGGATAGCCTGAAGTCGCCTTTTATACGGCAAAATATCCCATTCTTAATGGCGTCATGGTTGGGCGGCAACTCGATGACGTTCGCCCCATGAGTTTCTTGGTATTGCAGAAGTTTAGTCGGGATGTTCGTTCTGCGTTTAATTCGACCAGTTCAAATACCCCTAGTCACTAGCTAGACGGTGAATGATAAACAGTGAGTTGATATCACAGTGATTTTCAGTAAGTGGAAGACAAGTTGAGTCAGTTATATACAGTGAATGTTCTATGATAAGGAACTTAACTATACATCTTACGACTAAGAAGGTGTCAAGGGACCACTCAATATCGCTCAAGGCGTAGAGCCAATCCCGAACCAGTGGCAGAAGAAGTTGTTTGGATCTTCCCTGGCTTTGATATCCCGTAGGCGAGGGAGATTTGAGCCGTATATCTCTGCCGGATCCTCATCGCCATGGGCAAAGTTAACGTACCTAAACAGAGTATATTCGTCAGTCATTATTAACCGGAGCAAAGAGGGATCGAAAACGCACACAGCCGGGGACTTAAGGTCATCAGTGGACTGTAGTAGACGTCGAATACGCCGGCCTAGCGACAGAGCCTCCTCTGCCAGCTTCTTGTCCGTAAACCAAGGAATCACAATCGCGTTGATAGTGATGTTGCTTCGCCATGGGAACGAGGACGAATGATCAGGGACAGATCGGACCATGTCAAGGCAATACGCCTCCATCAAAACCACGCTGCTACCAGTGCCGCTCAAAGCAGTCCACGACACAAACTCGTCCCAGACCTTTATCCAGGTTTCGAGCACGATGGAAGAAAGGCCAACTCCAAACGAAGGTTTGTAGCCGCCACGGGTGCAGAAGGCCGCAGCTTTTTCATTCCATCTGGGGTAATACAGCACTTGGGTGGTATCAGCTATGGGGCCAATGTCAATCACGGAAGCAAAAGCTACGCGCCCTTCGGCTTCGGTGCCGTAATACCAGGGTGCAACAGCTATCAGTGGACTGTAGTCCGGGGCCCCAGATGTAAGGAAGTAGAAGAATACGGTCATCTTCGGCGTCAAGGTGAGTTCGCTGACTGCTCTGAGAACGGGCTCGACCTTGTCTGCTGGATAAACAAGGGCCCCGAGCCAGGCGTACTGGCCCGAGGCCTCGACCGGATACGCCTTCATCACGACCGAAGTGACTATACCAAGGTTGGGAGCAGCGCCGCGGAGGCCCCAGAAGAGATCAGGATCACTCTCGGCAGTGACGGTCTTGAGGGCACCGGTTCCAGACACAACGGTTAGGGATAAGATATGGCCACGCCGATGGGGACGCAGGCCAGTCAAGAAGCCGTAGCCGCCGCCCAGAGCAGCACCAAGGGCGCCGACAGAGTTACAATTTCCTGTAATGACGAGCGACCCTTTTTGCGAAGCAGCCTCCATAACTTCGGAGGTTAAAGCACCGCCTTCAATGATGACCTCTGTCCCATCGTGGTTGAAAGTGACAGTGTTTAGCTTTCTAAGGCTAATGATGATCCCGTCGGGGCCCAGGTTCAGGGTGCTGGACCATCCGTGTCCTCCGGACTGGGCCAGGAAAGGCACTCCATTGGAGATGCAGTGTTGAACCTTCAGATAGTCAGTGGATTATCTTCTTGATTGACACGACAGACGAAAGTGCTAAGTCGGGGAATGGAACATACAATGACAGCTACATCCTGCTCAGAGGCAGGAGACACAACCGCCCCAGGAATGGGAGAGTTGTATGCGCTCCATCGAGCATATTCCTCCCAGTCAGGGTCGGTCGAAGCCGTGATCAAGGCCGAGCTGGATAACTTCGGCCTTAGTTCTTTATTTAGTGAGGAAAGGGCTGCATCCGACGCAGCATATCCAGAAGAGGCCATGGGTGTTAATTCGAGAAGGGGAGTATTTCGAGGATGTATTCAGATACTGAAATTCGTATCCTTCATCTTCAGCCCCAGGGCGAGCATGGCCGCTATATATTTCCCCGCAGGATTGCTGATGATCCTTCAGCTGGAGCGACCCAGTCCTTATCCAGCTGTCAAGCCACTAATCGTCGCTTCAGCCACAATTATTTGTAAGAAGGTCAGCAAGCTCACCAGCGCAAGGCGTGGGGTATCTCAAGGTAGATAGTAAAATAGCTTGAATATAACGTAATATTGGGAGTCCCTGAAGGGTGTTACTGGTTGATCATAGGTAGTAGTACCTATGCCAGTCATATCAACATCCACAGAACAGGTTTAACTTATGAGGAGAATGGTATTGGGTATTCAGATGGCATTCCCAACTTAGGGGAAAGGTATTATAAGAGAGCTAGTAATCAGTGTAGCTGGGTATAAAACTTCGATATAAACAGTGATCGACCCGGGAGTGGATGTGCAAATGGGTGACTGAATCTTCAGCTGGTATAGCCAAAACTTCTCCCTGGTGCCATTCTCTTCAAGGCATCAGAAACGCAATATTCAGCCACAGCAGCCAATATGTAATTGTGGGCGGAAGAGAGGCAGGCTATTCAAAATATGATGCCCTAATACTTCGTGCTTAATGGTAACAGATACTTTAAGATAGAAAACCACTCCTGAAACATTATCAGATGATGACACGAATGAATTTACGTTCTGGGCAATATCGGCTTATATCGTCAATTAACTATTAAAGTTAGTTCTTCAGAGGAGGGGTATAGCATATCGGATAGAGTCCTTTGGATATGCTGATGGACGAGTGCTTGCGGGAGCGGTGGTACTTAGGCGTAACGGATAGAAGATAAGCATAAAAATCTGGTTCCTTGGTCCTGTGATTAGTCATCATATTCGGTCCGCAGTGGGGCGGCTAACAGACCAATCAACGAATAGGCTGAGTGCAGCTTAGTAATAAACCGGCGACGCGCGGCAAGTCGTGAATAACAACGTCATTGACTTCATTTTCTTCTATTCTTCTTTTTCAACGGCCAAAGGAAGAGGACACACGGCACACAGTGGTTTTCTCTTTGCTCTAGTTATGACATCAAAGCAATACAACTAAAATGAGAGATATAAATAGCTATATAATGACGGATTACCCTCATAAACTAGTTGGATATCCCCAACACGCTTTCCTCTTAACAGACTTATTAGTTTGTCAAACCCTGAGATGTAATTCTTATCTTCGAGCTTCAGCCTTTCCGGATAAACCCTACAGCTACCAGGGTACATCCTTGCAATTGTGATTTGATTCTACAGCCTGTGGTTACATTCATAAATGGTTGGGATTCCCCGCAGACCCGAAGCGTCGGGTGAATCTGGCTATGGCAGTAGTAAGTATGCCAAAGCTCGTCCTCCGGTATAGCATAGTTAAACTAACAAGTATCAAGTACCATCCAGGGGCGTTACAACCACAATAGAGCACTGGTTTGCAAGCAGAGATCCCTTTCGAGTCGCAGCAGGCAGCCAACTTCCCATGCCTTTGCGCTCAAAACGGATACGTGCCAACATTGAGTGGAAAGAGATATACGAAACAGATATCCATCCAAGAATATCTGAAATATTAACGAAGTATGGGCTTTCCTTTGGTGTGGACACGCTAGACCGCGTCCAACCCTGGGACGACTCCTACGAAATAAAGGACGTTATCACCATAACCACACACGACGCAAGTCCAAGAAAAGACTGGCAGGATGCAGCTGATACAGTACTAGCTATGGTCAAAGATAAGGTTCCCATCCATGTGTCGCATCCCATTCAAGTTGAAATAGTCAACCTTGATAAGATGTACCAGGATGTATCTAGTCCATTGCCAAATGACCGATCCATTGTTGGCCCGCTCGAGCAAGTCAAAGACCGGATTGTGGAAGAAATCTCAGCATCCATGCAGGGTGTATGGTCATCCATTGCATTTCATATGCGTCACCGCCGAGACAACTTCGATGGACCTATGAAACCTACTATCCTCGTCATATGTCGCCCTCATTCTATATGTGACTTTGCTGAGGCCGAAGATCGTCTCCTTGATATCTTAAACGAATTAGATATCTCGGTATACTTGGAGTTCCTTCCAGGGAGAGTTTTTGCAAATCCAGGACCTAGGCCACTGCCTATGCGCATTCATGTGGAAGACCTCCCTGAAAAGCCGACAAATGGGAGTTCAATCGGCGTCAAGGGAAACGAAACAAGGGCTGGAACATTGGGAGGCTGGCTTATACTCAACCTCCCAAGAGAACAACGACAAATAAAATGCGCCCTAACTTGCTATCATGTCATTAGAGGTGATGATAGTAGCGTCACGGACTACACCGATACTCATGGTGTTCACTGGAATGACACTCGCGGACAACTAACCATCCAATACCCTGCCGCCATAGATGCAAGAGCTGCTCTCGACAATTTAGACAAACTGTGCCATAATTTCCCGGGTGATCAGAACTTAGAAAAACAAAGAAATATGGTTTCAGGCCTCTTGTTAGGACCTGGTATTGGGAAAGTCGTCCTTGCATCCGGAAGTCAAGTTCGCAATAACCACCGGGTTGACTGGGCTCTCATAGAAAGTCCAGAAACATTCTCAAAAAATAAGCCCCCTTCTATTCGGCAAGGCAATTTCATGTCACCACCTGCCGGTCATAGGTATGCTCCGCATCCTGGCACCAAGGTAAGACAATTTGACAACGTCCATGAAGACGATTGGGTTGTTAAGCTCGGGAGATTTACTTTGACATCTGGGATCATCAATGGTATGAAAAGAGTTGAATGGTACCCCAACTCTGTTACCGAAGAAATCGAGGTTATGTCTCACTACGCTGATATTGCGGTGGACGGTGATAGTGGAGCCTTTGTTGTCAACGAGCATGGGCATTTAGTTGGTTTGTTAATTGCAGTAGCGAAGGAATCCACTTCCTTCAACACTGCTTATATTACGCCCTTTGATGCAATCCAAGCCCACATCAAGGAGATGACAAATGGAGGCTTTCTCTCATTTGACTAGCTAAAGAGCGGGCAGTGATCTGTGTAAACCTGCAACTTGGGATACGATAGCAGTTTGATTGATGATAGTGGTGAGCTTGAGCTCGTGTAAATAATAGTAGTTACCGTTAATACATGCAGAGATTTCGAGCCCCAAATAAGAATGGAAGATGACTAAGCAGCTAACTAAAGTGGATGACATAATCCAACATCTAAGACGGGCATTCAATTGCCGCTGCCTGGATATTATTTGGTCCGTCCAGCTCATGCCGGGACGAAGAGTCAAGAGTGAAGAACAAGATGCCTCGAGCTGTGAAAGGTAGGCTGACGGGAGACGAGCTGGACAGTCAAGGGCCACAGGATGCTCTGATTAAATACTCGGCTAACCTCTCTGATAGGCGTTTTGATCGAGTGCGACCCGTCTGTAAAAGCCATCATACTGAAGTATGACAGGCTCCAGAATAATGAGTATATTGTCGAAGACTTAGAGGGTGACGACCGGTACCTGGTTGTAAAGGAGAGCCAGCTTGCGAACCTTAAGATTCGATTGGCAAAGGCATGGATTTCACCGCAAACAGTAGCTGCGTGAAGATAACTAACGATGATAACGACTGCAGGAACTCGACGGAAAACTTATGCAACCAGAAGAATCCGAGTCAGAGTAACTGCTATTCCTCCACGGCCATGCGTATGATACACTCGAACCCTTTACTGCATCCAGGCCGGTTCCTATCAAACAATGTCGGTTCTCCGCAGATACCGAGTGATCGAGACATGACTACTCAACGTAACTATTTGAACAATCCGCCAGAAACGCCTGAATAATTATATCTTATAGAGGCGACAACACTTCGCCGATTGACACATCCCGCTACTGTCATCTATGGTGCTAGGAATATGTCGGACTAGCAACGTATAAGCTCGAGGAGGCAGAGACTCTTGGGAAGAGCTTCCAGGTGTTACAAGTAAACAACAGATCCAGCCAGGGAGAAGCGAAATAGCCGCCGGATTATTTTCACATCCACCTTAGTCTACTCGTGTTGCTTGAACAGTGAAATATTAAACAGTTGTCCTGGTGTATGCTGGCAGCTTAGTTGGTAAACGGCGATTTTGAGCCGAGGTCCACGGCTGCTGAGCTCCTCCCGCGTCTCCATTTGCCGCGCTGCTTCACATGGACGGATCGTACAAGGCAAAGTGATACAAGAAAAAGACATGTAGCTATGCAGCTATCATCTCACGCATACGTCTCTCTACCAGTCTCTCTTCACTCTGGTCTCAGTGGGAAGAAACGAACTTATCGCCGCCATGGCTCCCAACTACTCTCCCAAACACTTCCTCGTCACCTTTCCAGCCGAATATGTCGCCCATGTCGAAATCAACCGAGCAGACAAGCTTAACTCCTTCTTTGAAGCGTACGGCTTTGTGCTTCCCCCCTGATGACTCTACAAGAACCTGCTAACGACGTTGGGTACAGGATGTGGCTAGAACTCCGTGACATATTCGGTCAGCTATCTCACGACCCCAACGTACGAGCCGTTGTCCTCTCCGGCGCTGGCTCCCGCGCATTTACTGCGGGACTGGACGTCAAGGCTGCATCGAAAAGTCTTCTCGGACCCAAGCCAGATGGTGATGCCGCACGTCACGCTGCCATTTTCCGCCGTCACATCGCCTCTTTCCAGGAATGCATTACTGCGGTAGAGAAGTGCGAGAAGCCAGTTATTGCGGCGATGCATGGGATAAATTTTGGACTTGGGATTGATCTCTCAGCTGCCACGGACATTCGATACTGTGCGGCTGATACGAAGTTCTCCGTCAAGGAGGTCGATATTGGTCTTGCAGCGGATATTGGTACTTTGTCCCGTCTTCCAAAGGCTGTTGGAAGCTATAGTTGGGTTAAAGAAGTTTGCTTGACGGCCAGGGTTTTCGATGCCAAAGAGGCGAAGGAGGTCGGATATGTCAGTGCTGTGTTCGATAACAAAGAGGTCATGATTGAAAAAGCATTGGCGACTGCAAAGTTGATTGCTTCCAAGAGCCCTGTTGCTGTCCAGGGCACCAAGGAGCTACTTAACTGGTCAATTGACCATTCAGTTCAGGATGGTATGTGATTCCCCCTTCCCCTATGCAATTTGAGATAATGTGGCTAACTATCACCGGCAGGCTTAAGATATACCGGAGTGTGGAATAGCGCAGCCCTTCAGACCAGCGATATAACAACTGCGCTTCTATCGGGCTTGGAGAAGCGAACTCCTACGTTTGAGAAGCTATGATGGGAGTAATGGGTTCCTACTCCAATTCAAAGTAAAAGACTAGATCTGTACATAAGAGAATCGGGATTATATAGAAGACATTAATTTATTCATTTCCAAGCTAAATGCTATAACAAAAACCTCGCTACCTTTACATATTTAAAGCAGTCCACGCGAATGAATGCCTATCTAGAAGCTACCGCCATTTCATCCATGACCTGCTTTACACAGGCCCTTTTCCGGACTCTTGTATAGTACCCCATGAGAAGAGGGAATTTTCCCTCGACCACCTTACTTCCATCTTTGGCCTCCACGATCTCTCTAAGTACAGACCAGAAGGCACAGTCGTCAACTCCAAACAATTTTCCGTTGATATATAATTTGCCATGGATTAAGGAATTGAAGGTAGATAGCTTCGCTGCAACCTGCTCAACGTTGCTATCAGAAGACGTTGTCCATGCTTGATACAATTCGTCAACAGCATCCAGCCTCTCCTCCAGTGTCAAGCCATCCACTTTCATATCAGGATCGGGCGCGATATCGGCAATACGGCAATAGGCAGTTTCGGCAATGTATTGAAGAATTGCCATGCTTCCAGTTTCGACATGAGATCCATCTGAGTCAACTAGCAGGGAGGGCTCTCCCTTCGGTGCCGGCGAGGCCTTGGTGTCAGCTTCGTCATTCGACGGGGGGTCCTTAACGCCTCGTATTTCATATCGAATTCCGTTCTCTGTCAATGCAAGGCGTATCCGTAGGTCTGTTGGCTTGTCACAAGCTCCAGGCAAGAATGTCAGAGAAGGAGTGGTCACAAAATTGACGACATCGAAACCGCGTCCATAATTCGCATCCCAATCAAAGTCTGACTGATGGTTCTCCTGACCAAAGGCACGAATCATGCGCTCGGTTTCGGGGGAATCTCCATGTACAATTTTGCCGGCCTTTTCTTTCTTCTTTGACAGGGCGCCTTGGCCCCAGATGGTGTATGATACGGGATTGACGAACGTCCCAATGTGTCTGAAAGTTAGAGAAATTCGTTCCCCATTGAATGCCTTTTCTTCTTTGGATTTTTCTTTTTCCGATCTTTTGTCTGGCCGAATACCATGGAGCCATTCCATGTTCGATTTCTCCCCAAGAATGAAAAGAGAGTTATGGGGCATGGGAACACGTTGCGTTTGTCTTGCATTCTCGGGCGAAGAATGGGTAGATTTCTTTGCATCGGCCTTGGTGCGCAGTGTCATTGTCCTCAGCGCTCCCAGGCTAACATTACAGATGTTAGATCCCCTGACAATATCAAGCGTCTTGTCAGAGTGCTCAGAGATGCGATCTTCACCATCCCGATACAACTGTATCAGGGCATGGTTTAACGGATGGCCCAGCTCCTTCTCAACAACCACCCTTATTTTGTTAACAGTCTTGCTGAATGGAGACAACGGCGGAGATTCGTCTGCCGGGTGTCTGTATATTGGTATTGACCCGTCTTGGGCAACATCACCCTGAACAGCGACCAATCTGGGGACTTGTCCCGACATATGGTACATCTTTTGCCATTCGACCTCGTCCCGGAGTCGTTGGAAGGAGTCAGCCGGGAGGGCAAGATCGTAGAGGATGCGGGAGTCGCCGCTTGCAATGCGGTCTCCCGGGGTGCAGACGAGAGGCTGAGATGGTTTTGGTTTTTGAGATGGCGACGGCGATTCAATGGATTGGTCGCCGTCCTGTGGCTTCCTTGCATCTTTCTTCTCGGGAGGATCGACTGGCCGCCGGCTTGTCTCAAGGATGTCTTGCGGCTTGTCAGCACCCCCTTCGTTGAAGTGGTGTGTGGCAATTTGGCCGTCAGGATTCTGGTATTTGGGTGAGGAGAGACCAAGCGTACCTATTTTCTCCTCGATTCCCGTGAGAAGTGACGAGTCTGGCTGCTCTAGGACGGGTGAAGCAGCAGCAAAGTCCTGACCCTCCATCAGTTCACGACTCGTTATTCCATTGGCACCCATTATATCAGCCATGCGCCTCATCGCCTCCCGATGGCGCAAGGAACTCCGGTATCCCAGACAGTCTTCAATCAGGGTGACGGTGAGACCGTGGCGGACGGCATCGACTGCGGTCGCATACACGGAGGCATTGGAGAGGGAGCCGCAGACAAAAATCTCGGTGACAAATCGAGAACGGAGGGAGAGGAGCAGCCCCTGAGTCTCAAAGGCCGAGTACTCCGACTTGACAAGAACCGTGTCCTCGTTGGGATCTATGGCAGCGAGGATGGGGGCAGGAAAGTGGAATCCAGAGGAGTTTGGTAGGCAGCATCGCCGGCCGGCACAGGCTTTGTCTGAGACCGAGAGGAAGGCCTCAGGGTCGTCTGAGAACAAAGATTGCCGGGCCTGCTCTGCTTGTTGTTTCTTGGACAGCTTTTTTGGCGCGGGCGTGCTGGTAACCGGCGGTCCATCCTCCAACACAACGGTATCCCCTCCTAGACCTTCGTTGACCACGGGCCGGCGCCCTTCAAAGACACTCTGCACCCAGATAACCTCTCCAGAGGCGCGGAATATTCGAGCGAGGTCCGGGATGAGCGATAGAAAATCAGCGGTGTTGGAGACAAACAGATTCCCGTGCTGCCTGACAAAGTCGTTCTGCAGGTCGAGGACGAGCAGAGCTTGCTGAGTGGCGATGTGGGGAGCTGAAGAGAGAAGTTTTGAGGCCAGCATCGTCGTCGGGGCCCGTCGCCTGCCTCCGTTATTGCTTTGTTTCACCCAGCCTTGCGCTGTTTGCTGTACTTTGGTTGATATACGAATCCTTTCTTCAGGTCAGTAAGAGTATTTCACTTGACGAAGAGCGAGGATAGAACAGGGGGGGGGTGGTTTGGTTGGTTAGAAAACCAGCAGCGACGACGTGGGGGCAAGGCACCATCCACCGGTCAACGATCCATCTTCCCATGCCAGGGTGGATTGACGGCCTTGGTACTCCGTACAGCAGCGAGTTAGCTGAGCGTGCGGCCGCGCTACGCATCGCAACCGAGACGACCGTTCAAGCCCGCGCGGCTGCATCTGCTGGCTAGCCAGCCCTGGGCAAGATGGGCACTCCTCACGCAGCACGCGGTCCCCAGACCACCACGGCGGGCGCCAGGCTCCTGCTGGCAGGCTCAGGCACACGCAAGGCCCTTCGACCAGGTATACGGACTGAGTAGATAGTATGATGTAAGTACCCGGACTCGCTCTGCGCCCGAAGAGAGCCTTCACGCGCTGCAAGTTGGCTTCTCGTCGACCACTTTAAGTTGGTTAGAGTTTAGTGCGGCCGGGAGGCTCCCGTGGTCACGGGGTCTGCACGGGCGGCGGCGCCTCCTCGGCGTCTAGACGGCGGACGGGCAGCGCGGTGCGACCGTCCTCCGTACGACGACGGGCTCATGGCAGTTTGCTTAGCCTATCGTCTCTCTCGTCGTTTTCTCTAGGCCCGTCCCTGATTCTTTTACCTAGGACTCCTTCGGAGAAGCCAGGCAGTGCCCTTGAATAGCGAGGTCAGCAAGATGAATTGCAGCGAGGGCTCGCTTAGTAAGTGGAGACCGTAATTACATAATGAATACATAAGCACTTAGTCATCTCACGTGTCCATCGGAGAATCATTAATCCTCGTCACCGATATCGGCTGCGCTATTCCCCATCGGGCATGGCGCCATGGCCCAAGCTCCCTCCATCCTGGCCAATCAAAATCCCGCAGAAAAGAAACAAATCCCTCTTTTTATTTTTATTTTTTATTTTGATTTTTTTTGACTCATCCGCTTCGCTTCTTCCTCCTGGCCGAAATAAAATAGTTTCCCATTTAAAATGTCAACTTCGCCAACTCCAACACTCCAGCGTCAACTCCAGCTTCAACTTCGCCGTCTCCTCTCCACAAAATATATATCACGAACAATGGCTGCCCGTCCCCTGGCCAGGGCTGTTGCCCGTCAGCTATCCCAGTCGGCGTCTGCCGTCTCTCGGAGGTCGTTTGTTGCGGCTGCAAGCTCTCGTCCAACCCTGGTCGCTGCCAGCAGAGCTGCCATTGCCTCCCCGGTCACGCAGCAAATCCGGGGTGTCAAGACCATCGACTTTGCCGGCACCAAGGAGACCGTCTACGGTGAGTTTGTTTCCAGGCAGTAGTTGAATTGTTCATGGCGGAACTGCTTGCTAACAAGACTCTAGAGCGGGAGGACTGGCCACGCGAGAAGCTCCTGGTGAGTCAGCGGGTGCCTATATTGGGGACAATGGGCAGGGAAACTCGTCAATTGGAGGGCTGTTGGACTGACTAGCTCGGTGTAGGAGTACTTTAAGAACGACACCCTCGCCCTCATCGGATACGGTTCCCAGGGCCACGGCCAGGGGCTTAACCTGCGTGACAACGGTCTCAACGTCATTGTAGGTGTCCGAAAGGACGGTGCGTCGTGGAAAGAGGCCATCCAGGATGGCTGGATCCCCGGCAAGAACTTGTTCGATGTCACCGAGGCCATCAAGAAGGGAACCATCGTCATGAACTTGCTCAGCGATGCCGCCCAGAGTGAGACATGGCCTACCATCAAGCCTCTTCTTACTAAGGAAAAGGTACGATCAGCACAAGTCGTATTCAATTCTAAACGGAGATCATACGCTGACTTGGACGGCAGACTCTCTACTTCTCGCACGGCTTCTCTCCCGTCTTCAAGGACCTGACTAAAGTGGACGTGCCAAAGGACATTGATGTCATCCTGGTCGCACCCAAGGGCTCTGGCCGAACCGTTCGCTCTCTCTTCCGTGAAGGCCGTGGTATCAATTCTTCCGTTGCCGTCTTCCAGGATGTAACCGGAAAGGCCGAGGAAAAGGCCGTGGCTCTCGGTGTTGCTGTTGGTAGCGGATACCTCTACAAGACCACCTTTGAGAAGGAGGTGTACTCTGACCTCTACGGCGAGCGTGGTTGCTTGATGGGTGGCATCCATGGCATGTTCCTCGCGCAGTACGAGGTCCTTCGCGAGAGAGGCCACAGCCCCAGCGAAGCCTTCAACGAGACTGTCGAGGAGGCTACCCAGAGTCTGTATCCTCTCATTGGTGCCAATGGAATGGACTGGATGTACGCCGCCTGCTCCACGACTGCTCGCCGTGGTGCCATTGACTGGAGCAGCAAATTCAAGGACACCCTCAAGCCCGTCTTCAATGAACTGTATGACAGCGTGAAGGATGGCAAGGAAACTAAGCGCTCGTTGGATTACAACTCGCAGAAGGACTACCGAGAGAAGTACGAGAAGGAGATGCAGGAGATCCGCGACCTAGAGATCTGGAGAGCCGGAAAGGCTGTCAGGTAAGTACCACTTGCTGTATCATTGCTTCATGCTCACACTAACACTTTCTTCCTACCTAGATCCCTGCGGCCGGAAAACCAGAAATAGACATAGCCCTATTCTCTTGACCGCTTGACCGACCGATACCCCCGGGCTTCATGTTTCTATCTCTTTTGTACCCTGTCTGAGCTGTTCCTCTTTGTACCATTACCTTTAGGTTACCGCCAAATAGCTTGGTCGTTTCTTTTCATTTTTTTTTTTAATTTTTTTTGTTACCTATACAGGGAATACAAAAGAGACTGCAGCAGTTCAACCTCCATCCTCATATTCTCCACCTACAGTGCAAGTATCATATCTCACATCGGAATCAAAGACCACTTCTCCTTGATAGTGTTTTTATTTTTCGCTTCGTCATCCTTGTCCCTGAGCCGTCTAGCTTGTTCCGGAGTTAATTGGCCAAGTCTCCGTGGTTCCAAGACTCCCGTCTTGCCTGCGAAAAGGGGTTCCAGTAGGTTTGGGTTGCTGTTGGGAACGGGATAGTCGCATAAGAATTTATGAAGCCCAAGCACGTCGCGTCTGTACTGGCTGAGGCCCCATCGAGTGCCAATGTTTCGGGCGCTGTTGATAAACCGAACCACGAACTCTACCCATCGAAAGGCATCAATTTCAGCCGTGAGGCCAGGCCCCCGGCGTAATTCGACCGTATAATTATCTCCCTCCAGCAAGTTGGTGAAGTTCCAACCCGTAGTTCCGGTTGTTCCCGGAGTTCATGAGCTGTACAAGCTCAACATTGTTTGTACATGCATCGACAAGGTCAAAGGATGCCTTGTCAGACTGACTTTCCTTCGAATCGCGGATTGTCACAACAATTATTCTTCCCCCATATACTCCCGCGGCGATGCTCGGGGACGACGAGCTCCATAGATGACTCGAAATACAGAATAGCGCGGGAAACACGCTTAAGATCCTCTAGTGTCCACGGTCTTTCTTGCTTGCTGATGTGAACGTGAAAACCACAAGAGTGGTTCACTTGAAGGGATGCAAGGGTTCTCAAGTGCTTGAACACAGATCCCACAGATCTCCTCCAGAGTGGATTGGAATGGTACATTACTGGAGATGAGAATTCTGCGTCAACTGTTGATTCGTTAGCGAGTTGATATACGAAAGATAGAGAGAAACATACTCTGTCCAGGCCTATCAGTTTCAAGGGAGCAGTCCTCTTCCATCGTCCATTCAGTTAGGCGATTCGGCCCAAAATAAGGGCATTCGTCGAGATCAAGATGCATTAGATGCACGTTTTCTTTGATTTGGCGGTAGCTGGATACCAGCTCCTTTGCAAAATCTTCCTTAGACGTGTACACATTGTCATTTGGCTGAAGGAACAGTTCGACTTCTATGCCAATTTTGTAGTTGGTCTCCATTTGGCTTGGACTAGGCAGAGATTGGTGGAGGTTCTGGTTATAGGAGATGTATGCAGAATTATCAAGCAGGTCCTTGCGTTATGAGTAGAGGAAAGAGATATTGGATACTTTTGATTTTCCCTCTGAAGCAACAGAGAACTATTCACTTATTTATGCTAGTTAACATTGCTTTCTTGAATATTCCAGTGAAGAAGAGGCATTCACTTTTCTTCTGTTAATTCTGCAGAATTGCCATTCCAAACAAAGGTCTTACCATGCACCTGTTCATTGTCTCCATTTAGAATATCGGAGAATCTGATGATACAGTCCCGCAGGGTATATTCGTTTGCTTTATATGCAGTTAGGCGGTTCTCCTCCTCCTGTGTCTCCACATAGTAAGCCATACCATCTACCAAAAAATGAAGTCGTGCACATTGAAGCACAGGGCATCCACCCCAGAGTTTAGCCTGATAGCCCAGAACCTGTGCAGGACGCAGGTTTAGTTTCACATCATCAGAGGGTAGGTCAAGGACTTCGGCCAGTAATTCCTTATCCATGAGTTTTCCATGAACGAAAAAGTGGTACTTCTCGAAATACCCAGGTGTTCCAATATTTAAAGCATCGGCATCTGGTACGTAAGGATCGGCAGGAGGCTTCCAGCCTTCAGGTATCATTTTAAACTTCTCCGCCATAGTGGAACGCTTTGTGAGCTTATGATGGAGAGCTCTAGGTGATATATTCTCCATGGCTGCCGTCTCGATAGATGAAGATGGATGTAGGATCTCTCCAGTTGATAGGTGCGCTTATGCTTTTCCTGAGGTTACAAGCCAGATTAGTTGATAGTCTACTATTCTGACAGATAGCACACATACAAACATCAAGATGGCTCTAGATGCAGCCAGAAGAAGAGCAGTTCAATTTCGGGACCGCAATAATATGGAATAGTGTATTCGTTGCGTAGCTGATGGTAGAGGACAATAGAAGGTAAGTAAGTGTCTTGATGTTCTGTCATGCTGCGGTTTTATACTGAGATGCGTCATCTTAGTAATCAAAGGGAGGCTCGAGATTACTAACAAAGTTAGAAATTCGGGGATGTCACGTGCCGCGGAAGAGCCGCACGCCCTGCGAATACGAGATCGAGATATATAAGGCCGGAGGCGCGGACAGGTGGAAAGAGGGAAACGAACAGGTATCTGAGAGGCGTTGTGGTGCTGAGACAGATCTTGAAGCACAGTGCATACTAGGCCCTGCAAACATGACGGACAAACAGCATTGGCTCCCCGTGACGCGGGAGAACATCCAAACTGCTCATTCTATGATTAAGCCGTATATTTACGAGACCCCGGTTCTGACGTCCAAGACGTTGAACTCCCTTGCGTCCACCCCGCAGCCAGCGGAGGCCTTGATAGGAACCCCGTTCGAGGGTCAGCAGCCGGCGTGCCCGAAGATTAAATTCTTCTTCAAGTGTGAGAATTTCCAGCGGATCGGAGCGTTCAAGGTGCGGGGAGCTTTCCACTCCATCCTGCGAGTTATCAAGACCAAGGGTGAGGAGGAAGTGAGAAAGCGTGGTGTAATCACACACAGCTCTGGTCTGTTATCTTTGCCTGTTCTCATGTTTGCTATTCCAGCATTATCACTTTGTTTGTGTGAAACCGTACGGCTAATGGTTGGGCGTAGGAAACCATGCTCAGGCTGTTGCTCTCGCTGCGTCCACTCTTTCAATCCCGGCCTACATTATCATGCCGTCGATATCTATCCCATCCAAGATCGAAGCCACCAAGGGCTACGGTGGGAAGGTGGTTTTCTCCGGATCGACGAGCGAGGAGCGCGAAGAAGTGATGCGGAAGGTCCAGGAGGAGACTGGTGCTATTCTGATTCACCCCTACGACCACCCAGATACCATCATTGGCCAAGGAACTGCTGGCCTCGAACTGGATACCCAAGTAAACAAGCTTGTATCTCAGAACCCCGAGTTGAGTGTCCGTGAGACTGAGGATGGGAAAGGATGTGGTTTGGATGCAGTTATCACCCCCGTGGGTGGAGGAGGCCTGAATTCTGGAACCGCTACCGTCTTCGCCGATCCACGGGCTGATGGCCGCAAGATCCACGTCTTTGGTGCCGAACCATCGTTCCAGGGCGCAGACGATGCTCGTCGTGGACTTGAAGCTGGGGTGAGGATTCCAGAGGTCAAGTCACTTACAATTGCCGATGGATTAAGAGTTCCCCTTGGTGAGATCGCATTTAGTATCCTTTCTGATCCCGCCAAATCCCGCGGCGTGTTTAGCGTGACCGAGGAGCAAATTAAGAGCGCAATGAGACTTGTTGTCGAGAGGATGAAGATAGTCATCGAACCTAGCGCGGCTGTTCCTCTTGCAGTCTGCCTCTACAACGAGGAGTTTAGGCGGATCGTCGAACAAGAGGGTGGTGAAGCAGGCTGGAATGTCGGAGTCATCTTCTCTGGGGGCAATACGACTATCGAGGCGATGTCCCGTCTATTTTCTGCATCCTGATCCTGGAGACGTCTTTCGCACATAGACATATACATATGCATAGCATAGATAGTAGACAGCAAAGTGTGCTTTTCTCATTCCACTAGGCTAATGCCCCGTTTATGGACGAAATAATTGAACCGTCCTTTGCATTTTAATTTCTGTATCGACGGCCCGATCCAAGATGGCCAGTCCTCTTTGCCATATGGGTCAATCCATGCCGAAAATTTCCCCTGTGCCACTACAAGCCTGCGCTGGCGGCCCAGATGAAGAGCATCCTTGATGGACCGTGAAGAGAATTTGCGGACTGCATCACGTCGGACAACTAGCCGCATTGTTGAATAGGATCTCCACGCATGAGGCAAATGGGGCATAAAGGACATGACCTTGGGACGCGGATACAGTAGCTCAACAGGACACCCAAACCCGCTTGGTTTAGCAACGTGTAGGTCAGCCCTCCTCCTGCCGGTGACGGTGTAGATAACAGTACATGCAAACCGGTCTTGAAGCTGGCGCAGGCACCAGACAATGTGCTTCGCTGAGTGCACGATCTGATAGAGCGGCGGAGGTTCAATCCAGGGAAATTTAGGCAACTCCGTTGGCAGGCTGTCTACTAGTGCCTGGCGTTTGTCCTTGAAGTAGAACGAGGACGTGCTATCCAGCATGATAGAATGGAGCTTCCTTGGAGCAGAACGATGCCGCGTTACGTCAAGCAGGTATTGCTCTAGGGATCGTAGGGTTGCCACGACTGATTCCGACGAGCTAGGTTTGAAAACATGGACATGTTGCAGGCAGTCCGTCACCATCTTCCGCAGTTCAGCCTCATCTTCTCTCAGCCGCTTGCGAGGAGGCGGTCCAGCACCGCGCGGTGTCTGCTTTTGCCCATGCATCTTCTCACACGCGTAGTGAAGAGCTACGTCGCGCAGCCGGGCAGCGTTGAAATGGTTCTGGGAGTCCAGAAAGACAACAGCCCCGTTCTGTCCACCTATGCGGACACCCTTGAAGAATGCTGGCAGTACGCCTACGGCTGCAATATAGTATAGTAGCGACGACTTGCCGCTGTTCCTCCCCAGGCTTCGTCTGGGGCCTACAATCTCCAGCACTTTGTGGCGATCCGGCACTCCGGGGCGAGGATGCGGCGGTCTGTGGAAGATGCGCAGCATGTCATCAATCACTCTGACGCCCACGGGAGTTGTCTCGATATGGCCTTGGGGATGCTTCCCGCATTTACGCCTGACATCGCGGAGGATCTGTGGGCACGGTTAGCTGGTGCTTGGGCGACTATTAGTTATAGGTTTCAATCGGTGGTTGCTTACGCCCTCCAGAGTGTCTTCCTGGGTCTCTTCACGAACCCGTTTCCCTAAAGCCCGCGTCGCCATGACGGTGTCTGGACTCCCGCCTTGTGGATAGCTGTGTAGTCGCCTGCGGTGGTTAGTTATGTAGCCGTCTAATTGCTGAAATGCCACCCTTTGAGTGATCTGCTTACCCAGATGCCACCACATCTACCTGTCTAACATTCTTCTCAGAGTAAAGCTCTCTTCTTTATCTGTGTGCTCCTAAGCCACACTCTTCTCCTTCTACTATTCGGTGATTCTCATATATTATCCAGTTGTATTCAGGCCAGGGGGTTGAAGGTAGAAGGATTCTATACAAGAAAGAGTAAGAAGGGAAAGTAAAAGGAAATAGATCGAGGTAAGGAAATAGAAGAGTAAGGTATGGCTTCGAGATACAAAGATAAACAGAGGATTTTAGCCCAAGAAGAATTACTGTGGATGTACGGAGTAGCAGATCCCTCAAAGGGTGGCCTCCGAGCAATCAGATCAGGCGGTTGACTAGAGGGAAGTTGACTTGGGTCCGCCGTGGTTGGTCGAAGAAAAAGCGAACCTCAACTTCAACGTCTGCACACTCGACGTCGAGCGTCTACTCTGCACAAACCCGAGAATCAGCACCCATCAATGGCACCTCAGGTCGAGTCATGGCCGGCTACGGAGCTCCCTCAGCGCCTGCAGAGCTATCATGTTGGATACAGGGCGAAAGCTCGCAAAGGCGGCCCCATTGACCTGGCTCAGTGCCCTCTCTACGAACTGACGCAGTACTCGTGCAATCCCCCCGACGCAGGACCGCCGGAGCCCGGCGTAGTCAGGTGTACGACATTTACGAGGCTCTTCCGAAGGTATTTATTTGGCTTTCTTCCTGTTGTTTCATTGCGTTGTGGACAGTGCTGATGCTGGCGATTGCTCGCTAGATGTGCCAACGGAGTTACCGCAGAGACAACCGCATGGGAAAAAACAGCATCGACAAGGCTATAGATGGCGAGGATTATGGATTATGGGTTATAGAACTGTTATCTATTTACATGGGAGGCTGGGGAAAGACGCGTCGAGGGCGAATACAGCAAAAAAGTGCAGGGTGGGGTCACGTCAAGGCCGTGTGAAGCCGTTTAATCCAGCGGACGAGCAACAGAGAAGCAGAAGATAGAGGGAGATTAGATTGTTGGAGATTGACGACGGACCAGCCAGTCTATTCAACATCCCTCGCCGCAGCCGCTGTCATACGCTGCGGGTCGGAGCGGGTAGCTGGAGCTGATGGCTTGCGCCAATAAACCCGGTTACTGTTCACAATCGGCCCAAGGTCTAGCAGCAGGGAGCCATCGGCCTGTTTGGAGGCAGAGGTCGACTTTACCAATGCCTTCAGCGTCTTGTCGAACATGCTGTCCATACTCTCATTTTTACGCCCCCACAGTGACTTGTCCCGGTGCGCCCGACCGCCGCCCTGGCCCTCCCTCGCCGCACGGGTAAGCTTGCGCAGGGCCTCCTCACCCAATCGTCCTTCCTCCGTTGCGCGTTCTCGGATCTTTTCGGGGTTGGTTTCTCGCTTGGTCGCGAATACGGGGGTCTCTTGATATGTGTGTTTGCTTGGGAAACTGGGGAAGTTTTTGGGTATATAGGACGCTTTCTTCAGATCGCCGGCCCCGGAGTTTAATTCAGGCCCCAAGAAGGCGTAATTTCGCGCTGGTATGGGTTTATCTTCATTGTCTGCACCTTCATCTGGAGGAGGAGTAGGGAGACTTGGTTTGGAAGAGGGAGTTGCAGTTGTTGTAGTAGTAGTTGGCTGGGTCCTTCGCTGGAATGCCTTGAGGTGCGGCCGAAGGGAGTCTACATGTATCGAGTGGTAGCGTAGTGCGTGTTCAAAGTCCTGTGGTATAGGCTGCACCCTCCGACTGGATGTCATCGACTGCCGGACGTAGGACAGAAAGTGAAGCATATCTAGACGAGACGGTCAGCTTTTTACAGGCCATCATGTGGCAGCAGAGGCTAGATGAAACACACGCTCTTCGACATTGTTCCTGAAGCTGTCCAAGACTACCGGCTCGACGTTATCGAATCCGGTCTCATCCAGCACTCTCGCAATCGACGCATTCAGCTGGGCATCAATGGAGGTGCTGTCGTTCAAGGTCTCTGCGCCAGCAGCAAGAAGCTCGTGGGAACGCTGCAAACAGTGATGCCGCCGGTATGCTCGTCGCTGTCTCTTTGCCGGAGAGGCACCATCCGCATCGAAGGACGGCCGTTTCGTAGAGCTCTGGGGTGAGGGAGGCATCTGGGCCGGGTTCGTCTGAGCCGTCTGAGCAAAGTTGATTTGCGGTCCACAGGGAACCGGATGGAGGAAGACGGGGTTGGTTGGGCGCGCGAGGTAATGTCCAGCAGCTCAGGCCGCTCGTCTGCTCTTATCCTTCGCCGTCGTCTAGCCTATCTGTTTCTTCTGCTGCGTCCTTCTCGTCGCCGTCTGCGCGCAATGCAGGCGGATGTCGTCAATCTCGAACTTCAACAGGCAGCGGAAAGAAGAATAGTCACGTGATGTCATTCATATTCAACATGAGAGCATTCATTGTTGGTATTATTCAGGCTGGCGAGGGAGAGGACGGCCGCAGAGCAGAGGAAGCCCCCTTTTGCTCTCGCTAACAGCCAGTCATTCACTCTTGAGACTTGCTATTGATGCTGTCGTCGTCGTCGCCGTCGTCGTCGCCGCAAAGCCTTTTGGTGTTGCTTGTGTTGGCTCATACGAGAATCACGTGACCCATCCGTCCTGCCATCAACTTCGACTTCGACTTCGACTTCGACTTCGACTTCGACTTTCGATCGCACTTCAAGACACTTTCAACAACGACGCAGACCAACTTTTGCTCCCTTGCGACTCATCCACCTTTCTCTGCCCTCATCTCGATCCTCAGCGCTGTACAATGGCTGGCGTTACGGCTATGAAGCCCGTTACTGGAGTAAGTGCTGGAGTTTGCCGTCCTTGCCGCGCGAGAGGGCCCATTGTGCCTTTTGCAGCTCTCATGGCTTCTTCTGGAGGCCCTGCGTCCCAATGGCCCGCCGTCTGTCCTGAAGAAACTTGCTAATTGCCATGTCTGACGAGTAGATGCTCCGCCGCGGCTTGGTGCTTGATCTTAGCACCGCCTTGGGTAAGTCCAAAGCCCGATAATTGCACCACCACAGTGAAGGACGGTGCTATCTTAAAAAAAAGACATCTCGACCCATCGACCCATCGAAAAAACATATGTCCAACTCTGAACACCTTGATTCGAATATCTGTCTAATATATCCGCTAATTGTAGGACTTGGAGTTAGCTGTGGCTACTTCTGGTGGTACGGTATGTAGTGCATTTCCTTATGCTCTGGTAGTCAAGATTGATCCTGACCGATACAGGCTATCACCTCCCACGCGTCCGTTCTCGTGACAACTTCTACTCCCGACTTGAAGCCCAGCGTGCCGAGGAGCTCTCTTCTTAAAGAATTGACACACTACCAACGAACCTTGAATCGTTACGCATGCCCAGTCCTTCTTGACCTCGCCTCTTCCACCTCTATCCGGCCATTATCCATATACTTGTGAATTACCGCATACATTTTAATTGTGAATCTTGATACATTGGCCGGTCCGCCGACTTGACATTAGAGATGGAGGAGAGTCATCCACGCTGCGTATCGTGTACTGTATAAAAGGCAACTTTAAAAAATACTGAAAGAATCCTACTTCGCTATAGAATGTCAACTTTTACACCCTTCCCCTTTGATTAATACTTAACCAGCAATATCTCCAGCATAAGGTGGTACTAAATATGTACGGTGTGTTTTGACGGCCTGCCATATCGCACATATATCTAGTTTCACTCTCTAGAACATAGATGAATGTATGCTGAATGGAATACTTCTATAGAAGGTAATTATACCAAGGGGAAAGGAGCAATGCCGGGAACCAGGATGAATGGTGAGAGTCTCGCCAATGGCATACATGAGGTCATGCTTATCGTGTAACACGATCGTATTGTATATTTTTAATGGTGCCTCCCGCCATGGCTGTTCGAACGTTCCGCTTGAATCCCTCGTGGTTAAGTCGTAGATCGTCGGCTGCTTCTTTGTTTAAAGGGTCAGAGGCGTTTGGCTCGAGAAAGAGGAACTACACTGGTTGTTAGCGGCCCGGAAGTAGCGCTTGAAAGATGCTCGAATATACGCACCTGTAGTCCAACAATGACGGCATTCAAGTTTAACACAGGTTTCCAGTCTTCTCTCAAGATGTTGAGACAGACATTTCCTTCAAGATCAATGTTGGGGTGATATATCTTCTGCTGGCCTTTTACTTTTGGAGGATCGTGCGGGAAATTCTGGTTGATGGTGAAGGTGAAGGAAAACGTTCCACCACGGTACATGCCCTCATCCGGCTCGATAATTAGAATGAATTTTAAGATATCGTCGGGATTAGGAAAGGTCATTTTCATCGTGCTGCCGAGAGAGAGCTCCGCGAGATCTGCAATCCCGTCATCAGTTGAGTCAAGACGGAAATGGGAACAGGATCACAGACATACCGCGCTGTACTCGTAGCTGAGATGCGGTGACCTTTTTCTTCTTTTTCGTTTCTACCGCACCACCGCCTCCTTCGGAGTTCTCAGCTTGCTGCTGCTTCTGTTTCTATAGAGAGTCAGCCCAGCTGCACAGGCGTATATATGTATATATGGCCGTCAAAAACTCTCAGAGCGTCCTACCATAGACCATATTTTCAACATCTTGAATTATTGCGGGGAGATGGAGTTGGTGGAAAAGGACAAAAACCCCCCAGCAACCTTGCCAATATAGTCCGGTGAACCAGAGCCAATTTGAAGATGGGGTAGACTGCGGATATAGGTACAGGTGCTTCCGTATATCACTCTGGCTGTCGTTCTCGGTTGTGGATACCAGAGCTGAGAAGCAAAGGTTGTTCGTGTACGGAGTATATGTTATACTCGTGCGTGCTGCGCTTTGGGTATGAAGATACGGTTCTAAAGGTGTTTGAGCAGTCAGCAAACAGTATACACAAAGCCTGTCTATTGATAACACTTCTTCAACATGTATGTTAACTGAGGGGCACTCTATATTTTGGTTCTAGCATATGATACCTTGATATACCAGCAGTACAGGGGGGGTCGTGTTTACCGATAAGCGGGAGAGTAGTGATATGAACTGGAGCTGTCACAGAACGCAAACGGAAAGCCGACAAATAAAGTTAGATTAACAGAGGAAATACCCGTCACTGGTGCGTATATACTCTAGCTTACGGCAAGGAACAAGGAGAGAAAAGGGGATGTGAAAGCTGCGCTGAAGCGGCTAAAGAGACGTTTTGGATGTTTTTTGTTCTGGCGGGCAAAAAGAAGACGATGCAGGTGCCTGATAAGGGCACGTGACAAGCCAGCGACGGGACGGGAGTCGGGCAGGAGAAGGGCTCGTAGGAACAGACGCAGGGGACTCGAGGCTGATATCATGACGAGAGACAACGCTGTCTGCAGAGGCTACTGCTATATTTACTACCCAGTATCGTTGCGGTGTATGAGTTTTCGGTGGTTAGCTTGTGACACCAATTTACTCTAGGCGTAGGGAGTAACTAGTTATCTGATCTACGGAGGCAGATGCAGAGAATACAGGGAGTGTTCTATCTAAGTGATGAAAGGTGTGTAACTGGGGTTTGAATGTTAGGTATATATGGATATATATGAAAGCCGCTCCGATAAATAGTATATGGGGGAAGGGTGCAAATTTGACATATTTTCATGGAGCCCGGAGAATATCGAAGACCATCGTACTTCCAATTGGGGAGCCTCCAAAAGATAGATAGACGGCCAGGGGGGCAGACGAACAGAGTGAACACGCGACAAGGGAGGATTGGAGCATGGGGAAGAAATAGTCAGGTACATAATAACAGAGTATTCATCTAAAATACAAGACACGTCCCCGGCTAGGTCAGGAATGGGCATTAGAATAGAATTGGCATAAGCTGGGCAAAAACAGGAAAGGAGATAGAAGAAGCAACCGGGGAAAAGGGAAGACAGAGGAAATAGAAAAAAAAAAAAAAAAGGGAAAAAGTAGAAAATATAGAAAAGAATTGAAAGAGAAAAGCTGTATTTGGAGAATCAGAAAAGGAAAGCCGTCAATCGGAATCAAGGTATTAAAAGCACTACTATCTTCTTGCGAAACAGCACATGATACCAGATTTGCCAAGGAACCAGCATGCTCCGATGAATCGAATGAGAGACAGCGCCGCAGTTGCCCACAGGAGAGACTGGAAGAATCGACTGGTACGTTCGGTGGCTTGTGACTGCAGGATGGGTTAGTGGACAATGTAACACTATAGCATATGCATGAATTTAGGAAAAGTGGGACATACTGTAAAACCAAGAGCAGTCAGTTTATCACTTGTAATGGCAACGGCGAGGATAGCATTGGAGAAGAGCCAGGACGAGACCAAACGAGTACGGAAACTCTTGTACGAATCCTCAAGCGTCTTTTTCTCATCCACCTTGGGTTCGACATATGGGGTCAGGGCGCGCTTGACGGTACTTTCGAATTGACTGTCAATGTCTGCCTGAGGCTTGTCAACTTCTTCAATCGTTGCTGATTTTCCGTCCTCCTTGACGGTCTGTACGGATGGTAGGGCATCAGCCTTGTCAGATCCCTTGGTACCCCAGGACACATCGTGCCAGTTGCTGAAAGCGTAGACCATGAGAATGTTGATGTACGAGGACATGATAAGCAGATAAGCCGGGAAAGAGGTGAACATGTGCCATGGATCGCAGTACATGAACGAGGCGATGAAGTAGAGTCCAAAGGTAGCGGCGAGAGCGATGACAATGATACCGGGACCGGACGAACCGAAGAAGGATTTCAAGAACTCAACGGGGCCATGATCGGTTTCGAACGACAAGGAGGTACCGCCAGAGAAGGCTCGAGCAACCAGGTACATGGACAAAATGATGATATACAATTGGATGACACCAAAAAGAACGAACGAGGTGATGTACGAGTGCTTGGAACTGGAAATTCGTCGAGTTAGCGAGCTGATAAGAGAGCGATACAGGGTAGACTGTGTGGTACGACTTACCCCTTGGGTCTGTTACCGAGAGCAAGAATGAACTGTAGGAGCAAAAAGCCAAGGTACGCGTATTTCAACAAGGTGTTCAGGATAGGGGTCACCTTGTTGCCGAATGGGAAAGCTCTGTTGCCGTTGGATGGGCCAGGGTTACCAACGAGGTCCATGATGACGGCTGTAGTAAGCCAGTACGAAGCTATGAAAGTGTTATCATATTAGCCGCTGGACTAAATTGTGACTGGTAATAATCCATGGGAGGAAAGACATACCGAGAGCAAACCAGGTCATGAAGACAGTGAAAGTGTTGTACAACATTTGAATGTGGAAGAAGAACATGCGAAGGATGTTATGTCCACTCTTGTACATTCTGCCAAAGTGCATGAGAGCGTAGATACTGGCGGCGAACGAACCATTGAGCCATCGACGACGCTGACCGATGAATTCAGGAGCTCCTTCGGGAACGTCGGTCTCACCCTTGGAGGATTTGACGTATGTAAGATGCCACTTGGATCCAGCTTTGGCGACAAGTTCGAAACAGAGAATACGATCTTCGGCCAAAAACATGTTTTTCTTGAAGATGTTCATGCCCTCAATACCCTTGGGACCGAGCTGTTTGGACAGAGTGTGGTCACCGTGGAAGTATTGTTCTAGCGGTCTTCCCATGATGGCGCGGAATCGGTAGGCTGAGAAAGCACCAGGCAACACACTGACGTAGCCAAACGAACTCTCTAGCGGCTTATCAAGAATGTTACTGATCTTATACTCGAAGTTCTGCGCAGCAACAAGAGGGTTGAGGAGGTTCTTCCATCCTTTACCCAACATAGCGTGAATCTCACCACAAGATCCACCAAGATCCTTGTCGTTGTAAAAGGCCTCCCAAAGGGCGAGCAAGGATTTTGACCCTGGTTTGGTACCTGCATCGAGCAGGATACAGACTTCAGGGTTAAGGATGCGGCCAAACGCGTTAAAGAGCCATCTGTGGGAGTTGATCTTCTTGCTATTCTTTTGCTTCAGGCAGAACATCATCTGCACGGGTGGGAGTGTGGACGGACTGTCATCATGGGGGCGAATGAGTTGTTGGTTTGCAGTCACAGAGAGCTGTGTGGTATACTCGAACTACAGGGTATATATCAGCACGTACCCCAGTAGAAAAAAGCCCCAATCGTGCTGCTTGACTTACAATGTGAGCAACGGTCTCCTTTCCGTCAACATCCTTCTTCATGACACCATCCTGGTAAACACCAACGGTCGCAAGGAGGTCGAGAGTGTCCTTGTCACAGGGATCAATACCGTCGAAGATCAGAGCCACGACAATCTTCTGCCAGGCGGGGCCACCCTTGTTCCAGAACTCGGACTTCTTCAAGTTGACGATGTCTCTGATATTCTGCATGACACCGTGGAGGGTACGAGCAGTGAGCACCTTGTCTTCGTTGTAGTAGGTAATGGCAATGAGCAGCTCGGTATGGCGGTTGTACATGGCTGGACGCAGGTTGTAGCCATTGTGAAGAGTGAACTCGTTGGGATCACAGGTAGCAGCAGTATCTACAGACAGTAAGTGTAAGATTATGCACGAATGGGACCCCGATGGGAAGAGTAGTGATAAACTCACATCTCATATGGGTGAACTCTTCGCTACCGCCCTCAAGGTCGTTGCGGTACTTGGCTTGGACAGCGTTCTGGATTGCACTGGGTACCGGGTAGTCGATACTGAGGACAGAGCCCTGAACAAGCTTAACCTTCCTCGTGGCATAACGTCGGAGGTTGCCTTGCTGGGGAGCCTGTCTCTGGCGCCAGGCTTCGGTGGAAGAGGTCTCACTGCGGGTATAGGGAGAAGGAACGCGTCCAGGCACCCCAAAGCCGGCAGCAGGATTCTGCATCTGATCCTGCGGGTATTGAGCCATAGCTGGAGCGTCTGTCGAGTAGGATTCGGTCAAACTGTACTTCGACGAGGGACGTACGGGCGAGTGTCCGCGTTGCTGGGGGTCGTCAAAGGGGCCACCGTAGGGACCCTGGTTGAGTAGCGAGCGAGAGGACTCGTCCTCCTGCGGCAGATGGTATTGCTAGAAGAGAAACATATCAAATAAGCATGGGGAGAGACGAGCAAAGAGAGGGAGGACGGCGTTTTTTTTGTGTATTATTTTACTTTCTTCATCATTTATTTCACCATCAAACATGAAACAAGTGACTAGGCAGGGGAATGAAAGAGTCGTGCTGCAGAGCGAGTATAACCAAAAAAAAAAACGATCTCGATACCACGCTCTATCCGATGCCAGTCTGGGGATGGAGGAAGTGATGGTTGAGCGACTCTTGGAACTTACACTTGCAGAGGGAGTGATGTCCTGCAGCCGGTGGCCATCATTGTAGCCTCCTGGCGAGCTGGGGCCCGGGTAGGCCATGGTAACGAACGCGGACGACCGCTACTTAATTTCCCTCTTCCTTCTTGGACCGTTAGGGCTCCCCTTTTCGCCGACTCTTCTGGTATATATCACCTTTCTCTGCGCCGGATTTCAGGTCAGCGAATGGCAGGACAGATGTCGTTGGACGGTCGAGGGTCGGTCGGAGGTTGACGTTGGTAAATGAGAAGCGAGACGGACGAGGCAGAGAGCGGTCACACAGGCAGGCGTGAAAAAGGGTGCTGGCACTCCAGATCACGACCCTCGTGTCAAGTGACGGACGACGGGGAGTCTGCAGCAGAAGAACGGAGAGTCAAGAAGTCGAGGTTGGCACCGCAGAAAAGAAAACAAAGACGGAGAAGAAGTTGAAGACAGAGCGACAGCGAGAAAAAAAAAGAAGAATAAGAAATACCTTCTACACGCCTTGGAGAGGTTGTCCAGCGCTTCCTTTCCCTTTTCTTTCTTTTTTGCCTTTGCCTTTTTTTTTTTTTTCCCTTTCACAGCCCCCTGAGCAACCAGCCCGGCGAGAGGATGAGGTCTCGCAGGAGGTCCGAAAAGACGCGCGCAGAAGTAGTGGTACCTGCGTTAAGCGCGCAGAATGTATGGATTAGGAAGTACCGATACTTAAGGTTGTCGGCTCGGAAGAACCCGCGTAGCCGTGCTTAGGTCAGCACTCTGAAACATCTAATAATACCTCCGGCGCATAAAGTGTCTCTGCAGGACGACGAGGGCGGCTGGAAGTTGGAGTTGGAGTTGGAGTTGGAGTTGGCGCTGGCCCAGCAGGGCACAGGCACAGCGTCGTTCTACCTTGCGCCCTGCCTTCTCTCTGGCCCCGTTCATCGCGATACTACGGTACTCTGCGCTTGCTGCTGCTTCGTCCTCGTCGTCGACCTTTTTTTTTTTAGGTCCTGAACCTTATGTAATCGCAAAGCCCCTGTCTAAAAATAGACCTGGGTCTCGTTCTGATTGGCCGGCGCCTCGTGGCGGCACTATGTATTTCATACGGTATCATTCGCCTTTTTTTGCACACATGGAACAGTAATTTACGAGAGATTAGTCGCATCGTTCTCGATAAGTCTATTGTGTTCTGCTAATATTAAAAAATAAAAAGGACAGTCGAGGATGTCGAGGACAAGGAGATGGTGGATGGGTCTAGACGACGATGAAACTCTCTCCCAGGCCCACTCTCGTAACTGAGATCCTGACACTCTCCTCTCTGGCAGTTGTCCGTTGTCGATGATGCGGGAGGGAGCTCGCAGGCACAAAATTACAGAGAGGCAGCCAGCCCGGCCGTTGGCGAAAACAACGCTCAGTGGCTGTGCGAGTATTCCTGTACGGATTTCGCCACGATTACTGCCTGTTCCTGATTCCTCTCCTAAGCGAGAAATGCTTTGGAATATATACTTGGGTCTTTTTCTGCTGCAGACGACAGCTCACTCAGCCCGTTCAGCCTTGGAGCCGGGGTTATACCCGCGGTTCGTTCATCGACACCGTGAAGGTACACCCCTTGACTGCACCCATGCATTATATACCCATGAAGGCCACCAACAAGCGGCAATGCGGCCATGTACTTGCTTTCCTACCTGTCGTTCCTTCGCTCCTTCCAGTGCGACAAGGGTGACACCGTGATAGCCGCCCCTCTCGTTGCATCCTGGGTCGGGTTGCACGCACGAGAGAGGAGGGGTGCGATCATTATTGAAATACTGTTGGCTTCTTGTCAAGATATCCGCCAGAAACCAGACGGAGGCAGTCTGATTTCTATCCTATAGCCAGCAGCTACGGAGTAGTTATCTATAACTACATGGACAATTCTCAATCTAAAATGATTGCGATCGAGACTTTACCACAGCGAGACAGGGCTCTGCCCAATGAGCCCTTCTTCGGCAAACTTCTAGGCTTGTTACAACTTGGAGACGACCATGTTGCTATTGATGACCCATATTCCGGCATCAAGGCGAGTATTTCCCAATTTTTGAACGATGTGCTGGCAACCAGAGCTGCCATCAGACGTGCAGCGCCTGCGGGATGCTTGACCAGCACGGTATGGTATACGAGCAGAAACCGTTTATC